TCCTGGCCATTGTGGGATCAGTGGCAATGATTCCGCAGACAACGCAGCTCGCACATCGCACCAAGATGAACACACCCTTCCGATTCCTTTGTCAAGGACTGACGCTGCAAAGCAACTTCGTCACCTGGCACGTAGTCTGAGTCTGCAGGAGTGGAACACCCCAAGCATTAGACATACGAGACTATACCAAATAAACCCTCGACTGGAACTTCGACCTCCATCCGGACTTCGTCGACGTGAAGCTTCACTTCTTTGTCGCCTTTGGTTGGGGGTTGCCTTCACAAAAGCATATAGAACCCTCATCGGATTGACCGACAATGCGGAATGCGACGTCTGCTGCACCAAAGAAGACATCGACCATCTGATATGCCATTGCCCTCGATTTGCCTCTGAAAGACAGAAGCTTTCGGACGCATTGCGACAATTGGACGATCGGCCACTCTCTGTGCAGATGCTACTGTAACACCGTCATCGCCTTTCGTCGGCTCAAAAAGCAGTCAAAGCTGTCTTGTGCTTTTTGAGGACTACAGGCCTATGTGACCACCTTTAACTTTTGTGTAGTGCCACCGCTGCATACGCGCCAGCCCGATTGACTGACAATCCTCCTTTTTTTTTCTCTCTCTCTCTTTCTCTTCTCTTTCCTCTCTCTCTCATCTTTATGCCCCCTTCCTATTCCCCCAACGTAGGGTAGCAAACCGGGCATGTGCCTGGTTAACCTCCCTGCCTTCCCTCTTGTTGTTTATCCCCCCCCCCCCCCCCACAGAAATACTCATCTCATCGGAGTACATGTTTTTACACTGAAGAGACAAGCACGCTAATAACACTTCACTAGAGACGTACACGCTATTACCGTGGCGCACCGCTCCTCGCAGACAATGGAGGAGCAACTTTTGTTGTTGCTGCTGCTGTTGTTGTTGTTGTTGTTGTTGTTGTTGTTGTTGTTGTTGTTGTTGTTGTTGTTGTTGTTGTTGTTGTTGTTGTTGTTGTTGTTGTTGTTGTTGTTGTTGTTGTTTTACTGAAGCGCAAGAAAGCCAGGTGACGAATATTGTTCCGGGACCTTGGGCAAGAAGACTAGAGCTACAAACTCTTTGTAAAATGTAAAGTTATTTAGAACATTATTGTTAACACACTCATTGATTTTCGCGGAATGGTTTCATCATGTGACCTAGAAGGAGATTGGCCATCTCGTCAGGTTTTCAAACTAATAATGCGCCAAGCACTCGTCGCTATGCTTTTCAGATAGTGGTTGTCTTGTTAAGCGAAGGCTAAGGCTCACCATAACTGGCGTGGCTAGGGAGGCGTTTGTTTGGGTATTTGTTAGAGGTTCAGCAGCCCACCTTAGGCTTTCTAGTTTTGTATGCGGATATATACACTCAAACGCATACATACGCACACACGAACAAACGTTATATTTAGTTAAGTCTCCCCCCCCCCCAAAAAAAAAAGAAAAGAAATTTCTGGCTGTGCCACAGGCTGGCGTTCTCTTATCGGAACAAGTGTACACAAACGAAAAGTACACGTGCTTGCACACTACATTATTGCCAAATACAGCGCGCGAACACAGCTGGCAGCGCCGTGACACGCGGACGCATCGCGTGCAGTGAATTTAAAGCAATTGATTGATTGATATGTGGGGTTTAACGTCCCAAAACCACTATATGATTATGAGAGACGCCGTAGTGGAGGGCTCCGGAAATTTAGACCACCTGGGGTTCTTTAACGTGCACCCAAATCTGAGCACACGGGCCTACAACATTTCCGCCTCCATCGGAAATGCAGCCGCCGCAGCCGGGATTCGAACCCGCGCCCTGCGGGTCAGCAGCCGAGTACCTTAGCCACTAGACCACCGCGGCGGGGTGAATTTAAAGCAAGCCTCTAAAATTTTGCGGGGCAGTCGACTACGCCTTGTCCCCGTATATTCCGCACTGCGGGGTGTTACAAGAATATTTCTTTAAGTTCACACATCTTTACTTGTCAGGCCACAATACGCACAGCGGTCGCTTTGAATAAGTGCACGCACTAATGCATCCGCGTTTTGAAAGGCGCACGCTACGCTGAAGGTGCCACTTTTGTTTTCAGCGATCGTGGCGGCTGCGTTTTATCTCGGCAGACGTTTTCGACGCCGACCGGCGACGTGTGTGAGCCAGAGAATGGCGGAATTTCTACGCCTAGTGCCCGTACGCCCCCTCTGATAGCGCCACTTCGATTGTGACGTGGCATTTGACGTGTAACGTTATCGAACCATCGAACGTTATTTCATCGCTTGCTTCTGAAAAGGGCTAATTTTGATGGCGTTCAAAGTATGACAGGCATTGCAATCAAATACATTTATAGATAGCTTCTGAAGAGTACAAGTTGGGGTGTTGCCGAAACGAAAAGAAGCATTTGTATTATAATAAAATAAAGTAAACATTTTCTTACGAATATTACAATAAGCTAACCTTTACATCATACAGGGAAGTTTATAGATGTCCGTTTTGTTCTATGAGCGAATAAATACGGGAATAAATTCTGTCGAGTAGTTACTAAATATTTTGCTATTCATGTGTCCAATTTTCCACCAACATGCTCACAAAGGAATAAATAAAGTTTACATGCAGTAGACTAAGAACAGTACCATCTCAGCATAACGTGGCAATCTCGTTGACGTATCATACAAGCATGTGCCGGAAAATGGGGACTAAAATTTGCTTCACAAGATATACATTTTCTCTAGTTTCGATCTGCTAAAGCTTCAAAATATACAAGATACAGTATTGTCGCTAGTTGACCTCGCCATAATGGCAACAGGTGGCGCTTACTGAATCTCCCACGTTTCAATGCGCGTATATACCGTACAAAGTGGATGTGGGGATAGCCGACATGCTAGCTCAATTGGTAGGAGTGGCAAGTTCGAAGATCGCAAGTTCGCTCCCTGCCCGTGGCAAGCTAATTTTTGTCCACTTTTTTTTCTTCACAATTACATCCCAATTACTACTAATGGCTTTCCCTATAATTTGCTTGGCGTCATAGTCACCCCACTACCAGGAAGCCATGCAGCAGCAGTAAGGATTAACACGATCGCGCACAATGTCGCCAGTTCTCTGTGGAACACGCCCGGTTTTCTTCACACCCGTTTTCACCGCCTTGATTCGTGCCTACGACTTACCATTCTATCTGGTTTATCCAGATCCGGCACAACCGTTTTCTGCCGCTTGTGGCTTGGGGAGTCCCATACGAACGCCTTTGCTTGCCGCATCGAATGAACAGACAGTCCTGCGTGTGACATTGTGGCGCTGAAAAAATCATCGGACATAATTTGTGTCAGTGACATCGGCAGTGCTTGCTTTTTTTGTGTCAGTGTTTTTTGTATCAGTGTTTTTTTGTGTCATATTTTGTGTCAGTGCCTGTCAGCAGTGCTTGCTTGCATGCCTCGACGACCAGCCGCTTTCCGAAAAATCAATTTTGGAATGCTTGAAAGATCGAAGTTCATGCCGAAAAGCGACGAAAGGCCCCTTTGAAGTTTATGCCAACGACCGGTTTCGTCGAATGATTGAGACATTCTATTGTGTGTGTGTGTGTGTGTGTGTGTGTGTGTGTGTGTGTGTGTGTGTGTGTGTGTGTGTGTGTGTGTGTGTGTGTGTGTGTTGGCTTCCCTGTCTCTCTCTCTCTTGTTTCCTTATTCCTACTTTCTTGTCTTTCCTTCTCCTTTCGCCAGCAGCGCAGGGTAGCAAACCAGACGCTTGCTGTCTGGTTAACCTACCTGCCTGGCTTCTTACCATATATATATATATATATATATATATATATATATATATATATATATATATATATATATATATATATATCTGTTAGTTCTCATTAATGCCTAACAAAGAAAACGAGCCCTTAAACGTACACTTCTATCCTTCAAAGCTTAACTCTGTTATACAACATAAACTCCTAAGCTTGCTGAAGTTTCCCCTGCTTCTCAATCGCTCTCTTTATTTTCTTAGCTTTCAATCGTCTATTCCTCGGTCGCAACTATACCATTCTCACTCTGTGTTACATTGTGCTTAGCAATAGACAGTTTCCAACTTCCAGGTTTTATATTACTTTTCTGCAGGTTGCTATCACCTCATGCATCCCAACAAAACACGTATTGCAGCGAGAATATATGAGAGCACTGTTTCAAACAAGCTAGGACAAATCACTTTACCGTGGTTGCAGTACATAGTATCACGATCATACCACGAGACCACGCATGCGTTTTTCGCAACTAATATGATCTTAGAAGTTATGTAACTTTATTTATTAGTCATGATTGGTATTACAGCTTGTGCACAGAGGAATGATCTCACAGAGCTCTAATGGGTATCGTTCAGAGAACCATGCTGTAGCACCGTACTTCTAGTCTCGTATCATTGTAACTCAGAACACTTTCTATGGCTTTTAGCTACGTAGATAATGCTCTAATCTGCCCCACGACGCATGCGTGGGCTCAAAGCGTTTCGAACATCGTTTCCTCACATACACTTGCTTAAGCGCTTGAGTGGGATACCACGGGAATAAGATGCGACATTGATCTCTAGATATGCCATTGAGACATGTGGGTGCGCCCCGCCACGGTGGTCTAGTGGCTAAGGTACTCGGCTGCTGACCCGCAGGTTGCGGGATCAAATCCCGGCTGTGGCGGCTGCATTTCCGATGGAGGCGGAAATGGTGTAGGCCCGTGTACTCAGATTTGGGTGCACGTTAAAGAACCCCAGGTGGTCGAAATTTCCGGAGCCCTCCACTGCGGCGTCTCTCATAATCATATGGTGGTTTTGGGACGTTAAACCCCACAAATCAATCGAGACATGTGGGTGAACTACAAAATACGGCCACATTTAGGGCAGGTAAAGGAAAGAGGAAGAAGTGGAGTAGAAAGACCTACAGGTGCATGTACGCAATCGCGCAGATGTACGCAACTGTAGGCCAGGATCGGCAAAGTTGGGTGTGCAGTGCCTGTCTTATGCGGTGCTTGCTGTTGTCGTTCACAGGTCCGTGGCTTCCTTGCGTTATGGAGGATGGCTACTGCGGGCAGGGCTGGCAAGGTCGAAGCGTTCGCTGTGTGGACGTGCGAGGCGACGCCGTCCGAGAACGACACTGCCACCGCCACGTCCGGCCACGCGCCGTACAGCCCTGCAGCATGGAGTGCGATGACGGTATTGGGGCTACGCATCGACAGTCCCTCAGGTGAGAGTTTCCTGCTGCGTCGCTGCTGCTGACTCCGCACCTGAAAGATTGTTGCAGCGTTCAGTAGTTAATCATATTCATTCTTATGCAGTAACGAATGTACGGTAATTTTTTCGTTCTTTCATAGTGAGGGCCTCAACAGACAGTCTTAGGTTAGAAATACGAGAGTTTATGGGTCAGCTGACGCTTCGTGCAAATATTACGTGCTACGTGACCCCGTCTGGCACAATACTTCAATTTCGATTTCAGTTCAGTTTATTTTGAAATCACCGGAGACAGCACAAAAGTCATATACTTAGAAATTTTGGCGCAACCTCGACTCACGCAGACACTCACACAAGCACACACACTTACACCAGAGCAACACACACGACACGCAGCGCTCGTGTCGTGTGTGTTGCTCTGGTGTAAGTGTGTGTGCTTGTGTGAGTGTCTGCGTGAGTCGAGGTTGCGCCAAAATTTCTAAGTATATGATGTATAACCAACTAGCCCAACAACAAGTTTTATTAAGCACAAAAGTCAAAATGGTGATGCTGTAGGCCGAAAGCAAAAAGCCATTAAGGCTTTACGAAGGCGTTCGTGCCATTTGGCAAAATATGACCATGGAGGAGTATAAGATCATTATAGACATTATCTAATATGAAAACATGTCTTGAAGAATCATGTCAATTTGCATTTTAAAACATGTAGAAAATGTTTAGAGGAAGCAACGGAGTAAATACATCATTGTAGGAAACTGTTTATTGTTAGCGCAAACAGTGTTCCGCAATAGTGACACTCACTACGAGCTAACACTACCAAACGACGGGGAAGGGGACGCTCATTTTGTTGTAGCGCTATTTGTAGAGCATCAGACGGTAATCTGAAAACTTTTGGTTTAGAACCTTCCAGCACTGCAATTAAAGACAACAATTACCGCACCTATCATTTCTCTCACCTGATAGTCAGTTGGATTTATTTGTTTCACTTACAAGGTTTTACGGGATCAAGAGTGAAATTTGGAATCATAGTCAACGGTAAGTATTATAGGTATCAACACGGCTGACCGAACCTCGACGATCTAATCAATTGAATTGCTTGCCAGAACTAATGTCTCAGTTACAATGCAGAAATGTTTTATTGCATTGTAACGAAAAAACAGCGAAAGGAGACAGAGACAGAAGGAGCGCACACACGAGCGCCGACTCACAACTGATTTTTATTTGGCGCAAATGAAAGGTGCAAGATATTGTTGAACGGCTTTTTTATTTTTGTGTGTATGCTATGTCATCCAGCGGCCGTGGCACTGTGGCAAATAAAAATCAGCTGTGTGAGCGCTCGTTCGTGTGCCTCTACCGTCCTTCTGTTCTTGCGGTCTTTTTTTTATTACAGTGCTACCAAACCAACTGGCCCACCGACAAGCTTTATCAATGTTTTATATGCTGTCTGTACACATTCTGTAACCGTATTGTGGCTATTTCGGAAGAACTCAAATATCCTTCGGAACGGTCACATAGACGTCCGTCATACCTCGCGCATTGGGCTTTACCGTGCCACGAGTATACTTCATTGACGATTCCACACACCAAGAAACAATGTTTTAAAGCATCAGATAAATCTACCTCAGCAATGTGCGCTTTAACTTTACTAATCTTGCTCGAGTGTTCTATAGTTGATAAATGTTTAGATGGGCTCTCTGTAAAGCTGGTACTTTTGTTTGTTTGTTTGTTTGTTTGTTTGTTTGTTTGTTTGTTTGTTTGTTTGTTTGTTTGTTTGCTCGGGCTAGCCTATCCTTGCTATGCATTGTTAACCTAAAATAAACGAAGTTACAGAAACCACTCATGACATCAGTCTTTGCTGCACACATATTTATAATAATGTAAGAAAAACAAGCTTGAAACATCGAAACTTGACGAAGACTAATCTGGTTGCTTCCATGTTATTGCTAGGTTTTAGTTAGCATAACTAGGTAGTTGGGATAGCTAGATTACTTCATAGTTTTGTGGCATCAGCCATGGATATTTCATGCCGGCAATACCAGCTTCGTTGTTAAAAATTATCGTGAGCGTCATTTACATTATCTTCGGTCATAGCTTTCTCCCGCCTCACTGCTGTTATGTTTTTTTTTTTTTTGTAAAATGTGCAATCTAGTTGTGAGTGTCTGTCTCTTTTTCTTGAAGCTGTTTTCACGTGACACCACACAGTGGTTCTTGATTACCGACACGAAGTTCGCAGGAGCAAATCCCGGCCGCGGCGGCAGCATTTTCGACGGAGCTGGACATGCTAGAGGCCCGTGTGCTTAAATTTAGGTGAACGATAAAGAGCCCCACATGCTCGAAATTTCCGGAGCTCCCCAGTACAGCGTCTCTCATGATCATGTCGAGGTTTGGGCATGCAAGACTTGTTATCACCTGCAGGTGGCAAGCCGGCGAGTGGAGTCCTTGCGACGATGTCAACGGGCGGCCGCACCTACGGAGCCAGTGCAGACCCGAAGCGCGGGACGCTGAGGGTCTTGCCCGGCGAAACGTAAGCTGCGTCTTCGAACCAGAGGCAGGACCTCCTCGGGTCGTGGACGCGGTGGCGTGCGCGCACCTGCCGCAGCCGCCGAGCGAAATGGCATGCGCCATCAGCTGCCCACAAGTGAGCGAACTAGCAAAGTCGCGTCTCCCTTGATGCATGAGAGCGATACGGAAACGCATGCATTTATTTACGTAAAGTAATACCGGAATTCAACCTCTCCTGAAGCGTTATGATAAAGTGAAAGCTTCTGGTAAGTTTAAGTGCATTTACCGCATTTGAACGCTTAACAACGCGATATTTTGAGCTAGTCTATGCATAGCTGTTTGAAGATGTGTTTATAATAAAGTGGTTAACGATTTCTAGTACTTAATACTCGACTATGGGAGAGCCTAAAGCCGTCCCGTGGACCTCATGAGACAGCGCTTTAGACAGCGCTTTCAAGACTTTAGATGTGGTGCGAGACTTCGATGAAAAAGAAAGATGGTATAGAAAGAACTGTTCTTGTTGTCGTTGTACCGTTGCGTCAAGTCTTTCACTTTTTTACATATTTTTACAACTCATAAAAGAAGACAAACACACGATTCTCTACACTATTCAAGGACGTAAAATTCGGAGCTTGTCTCATATTTCATGTTTGTCTCACTCTTTTATGCACGCAAAGCTCCTACCCCGTTTGAAATCATGAGGGATGGATGGATGGATGAAAAACTTTATTGCGGTCTTGAAGGATTCCGCACCCGTTTCGTAGGGGTAGGATCGCTGGCCGCTCCCACGTAGGGACGGGGAGGCCTAGCCTCACCGCCGCATCGTGGGTCTTCTGGACAGCCATGCGATAGCTTTAAGTCGAGCGTAACCCACAAGATATGTGAGCATCTTGGAGAGCCAACGTTTTGCTTTTTCTCACTGGCGCCGAAAGCTAACGACAATCGAGAATGACATGGCACTTCTAGCCGCCTACGACTTTTAGCTCTCCTTACCGTTCGGATATAGGTATCAATACCAAACTTGGTGCGGCATAGCATGACTGTATGACGAGCGTATTTGACTAGTCATAACGTAATCTCTCTTTACCGGTGCTTTGCAGGACTGCGTGGTCACACCGTTTGAGCCTTGGCCGGCATGCGACAACGTTACTAGCTCGAACAGTTGCAAAGTGCACAGTGTGGTTCGACGTCGTGTCGTGCTCGTCGGTCCATCGAACGGCGGCGCCGAGTGCCCCGCTCTTTCCGAGACCAAAAAGTGCCCGGCGCGACCGGGTTGCCGCGAATGGCGCAAGCGCAAATCTCGCAGGAAAGCACCCTCCACCGACTACGTGCTCCGAGTCGGGCCCTGGGGCGAGTGCCAAAGCGATTACCTCATGACTGTACAGCCCCTGGCGACTGAGGAAGGCTCCGAGTTGCCGGTCGCTTCCCGACAACCGCAGCTGGGAACACGGCGGAGGAAAGTTGTCTGCATGGACAGCAACGGTGTCTTCGTAGACATTGGGTGAGGGCTGTTCCGGTCAACTTTATCTTCTAAACAATGTACTACTTGCGGGCAGATTAGGGCTGAATCTTTTCGTATGGGCCATATCATAGGCTTCGTCATTATTATATTTCAGTGCATAAATAAGTACTCGTTCAATTAATAATAGTTATTATCCTGACCTCCCTTTAAACTAAATGTGAAATGAACTTATCTTTTCAAAAATCTGCTCTTAGCGGAGTGTAGTCTGCAGTGTTAACTCTCGACTTCTTCCCTGCATTTTCAGCGTACTCTTCTGGATACCTTGGAGCCAGTCCTAGCAAGCCTTTTTTAACATCATGGGTTGAAGTGTACTTCATATAAGACAGTCGATGTCAGCCCTTACTCTCTGACAGTTCACAATTTTGTGACCCGAGCGTGCGAGCTACACACAGCTATGCGTGAACGCGTATTTGTTTACTTCTCTCTCCTTCTTTCCTTCTCTGTTATTTTTGTCTCCTTTCCCCCTTTCGCCCTCTAGGGTCGCATACCGGGTTCAACCTGGTTAACTTCCCAGTCTGTCCTTTGTTTGTTTTTCTCTCTCTCTTTCATCACCAAATACAGAGTGTTCGATAAAACCTCGAGGCCTTACACATTATTCGTCGACCGTAATCCTTCATTACTAGTTTCTATTCTGTCATGCGATTTATGTTATATTTGAATTGTGATAAATAAAATATTTCCATCATTTACGGAGGAGTTTGAGATAGGAGGCTGCCACGCAGAGGCTAGTAATCTGAGGCACACAGCATGACAGATTTGGTGACTTTCTTTTATTAAGCAGCGAAGAGCAGCTGGTGTATAATAGAGCGCTCTCCAGTTAAATACTATGAATCATTGCGTTACGTCATTGCCTCTACCCCTTCTACTCACATTCCTCTGTCTATGGTAACCAGTAGGGCCATACTGGTTAACTTTCGTTATATTTATTCCGCCTTTCTTTTTAATATTTATCTTATTGAGCTGCAGTAGTTCTTTCTGAAATATGCACATTACATTGCCAAAGCGAATGCAATTTTTATGTACGTGCCAAGGATACGTTTTCTTGTAAATCGAGCCTGTGGGCAAGACAGAAAATTGGTGTCCGACTTCACCTTTGCTGAAGAAAACGATGTCCAGATTGCATTAGTACAGTGACTGTAATTGCGTATTTTTATTCGGTGCTTCTCTCCAATGCACCGGCGTTTTATCTTTTGAAAACTTACAGGAAATGCAGACAAAGCGATGGTAAGCAGCGTCCGCTCCCGCACGACGCCGAGTCGTGCGTCGTGCCCGTAGACTGTGGCGTCTCCCCGTGGTCTCCGTGGCACCTAGAGCGTGAGGGCTGCCAGCTGGACAGCGGAGAAACCTGGCACGGCGGTCAGCGGCTGAGACGCCGCATGCGATACGTGCAGCAACTTCCTTACGGTGCTGGAAGGCCCTGCCCGCCGTTGGTTGAGACAGCGCTCCAGCAAGATCGACTGCCGTTGTGTTCCAGGTGGGGTGCTCATGACCTACAGAAACAGTGCACTTGCATTACCACACAGTCACAGAGGAGCTCACTCGCTTTGAATGACCAAATGAGTGAATGAGTTGTAACAAGCGACCTGTATACAGTACGGTCGTGTTTGTGTGCTCTTACATGCACATTGCAAATGAGCTCTGTGGAATCCCTCAAGGTGGTGGCAGCGCTATGAAAAGGACGAGCACCTGTGGACAACCACCCCTTCTGGTTTCGTGCTACAAACGGGTAGTTGTCGGCAAGCCCCTTTCTACATGCGTGCGCGTGAGTGTCGTGAGAATGTGTGTGCGTTGTGTGTGTGTACTTTTTTGTTTGTTTGCCGCACAACTCTAAACAAGGGACTTTGATTACAGTGGTAGAGCAGGGTAGAGAAGACGTCCTAAATGTGTGAGGGATGACATGTCATTGCATTGCACAGGTATCGAGCTTTAGTTACTGCACAGCAAAATCTATTGACCTGTTTTGTAGGGAGCAGCAGTAAACGAGAGCATGTGGTGAAGCGGTATGAGCCTTTGGACAGAAGATGAAGAAGCGCGAGGGCCGGGGCAGGGAGGAAGAGGAGGATGAAGTGAAAAATAAAGCAGATTAAGATGGACGCCAGTTCCATACTGAAGCTTTAATGCTGTTCCGTTATTTTAAGTAGGAACACTACATTATTTTGGCGCAGCCGGCCATCGAAGCCATCATGTGGGTGACGTTCTTCATAGACGAGACCTCCGAGGAGATCATCTTTTCGAAGTACCAAGTTCAAGACGAAGCAGCGGTAGACCTACCTCGTGAGCTCAGCTCGGAAGAACTCGTAAACCTGGTTGTGGAAAAGGCAGCCGTAGACACTACTGAACTACGACGGAAAGGTGCTGTGAAAGTGAACTTGCGTGTGGCGACCTTCAACGACCTAGTTCTTGAACCAGCGCGTCGAAAACACTCAGGATCACGATCTTCGACGGAAGAGGTGAGCCTCGTTTTGAAAGCTTTTCAGCTGCAACAGGAACAGATGCTTCAACAAAACCAAATAATGACATCTCTTATAAGCTCTCTGAATGCTGAGAGACCGACACCTAATTTCGTAGAACCTGATGCTTTCGACGGTGTGTCTTCAAATCCAGAAAGTTGGCTTGATTTCTACGAATATGCCGCTGGAAAAAACAAGTGGCTCTCTGATGAGGCTAAAATCACCAACATGCGCGTTTACTTGAGAGGTGTTGCGCGAAAGTGGTATGAAACATGCATTCTGGAAGACAGTGACGACTCTTGGAGCCAGTGGAGGAAAAAGTTTTTGACTGCATTCCGAAGCAATCCAGTAGAAAGATGGAACACGGCGCTTAATTTCAAGTCTGAGCAAAGCTGCCTTGTCGAGTACTTCTTTGAGAAACGCCGTCTTTTAAAGCTGGCGGAGCCTTTGCTTCCATCTACGGCCGTAGTTGCCTTAATAATGCATGGATTGCACACTAACGTGTTAAAGCAAGTGCAAATACTGTCACCAAAGACTCTAGATGACCTCCTCGCGTGTCTTCAGAAACGCAGCTGTTTCAGTCGGAGTAAATCGGACTGGTCAAGCCACCAGAAGCGCATCACGCATCCAGGCGGGCTTCCAGCAGCTGTGACCGGCACCCGGCCCCTTCCGAAGATAACCGCCAACTTGGCAATGGGCGAAGAGAGTCGTTTCAGTGGCAGGAAGAAGCCTATCGTCGCCGAGAGGATCCTGGGAACGGTGAAGTGGTTTAATGTCAAGAACGGCTATGGCTTCATCAACCGCAACGACACTCACGAGGACATCTTCGTCCACCAGACGGCCATCACGCGCAACCACCCACAGAAGTTGCTGCGCAGCGTTGGCGAAGGTGAGACCGTCGAGTTTGACGTCGTGGTCGGCGATAAGGGCTGCGAGGCAGCCAATGTGACCGGACCCGATGGTGAGCCTGTTCAGGGTAGCCCGTACGCGGCCGACAGGCGCCCGTTCCGACCCCGCTGGATTCCACGTCGCAATCAACGAAGGCGCGGGCCGGCGTCAAGGCGTGGCCGAGGGGAAGATCGAAGGGAGGAAGCAGGAAACCGAGACTCATCGCGGTCACTGCCACCGCACCAGGACCAGAGCGACCCGGCTCCTAGACGGTGGATCATGGACGGCGTGGGGAGGCCCTACCCTTGGCGATACAACCAGCGTTTCAGAGGAGTACGGGGAGGTAACGGCGGAAGTGGCAACAGGAGCCAGGAGGACTTCCAGGACAGAGGGAGTGCCCCTTCGTGGCAACGACCTCCTCCGATGTACCGACACCCAAGGTCCCACCGACGCAGAACGAAGTCACCATCCAAGAAGGCCGGGGCCCGTAATCGACGCGAGAACGAGGCGAGCAGCGGCGGAGACTCATTGGAGAGCGTGCAAAGCACTGAGAAGGAGCCTATTTCACCAGAAGAACCAGGACACTCGGCACCGACGGCTCCACCGCCGTCATCACCACCACCGCCACCACACGACGGCTTTTGGCGTACCTACAACAAGTTGGTCAAGAGGTTTACGTGGCCTCACATGAAGAAAGACGTTAGTCAGTACGTTCGTTCATGCCATGTGTGTCAAGTACACAAAGTCAAGTATAAACAGCCTACGGACACCATGATACTACCTTGCCACTCGAACGTGCCTTTTGAAGTAGTTCACCTGGAAAAGAAGATGCAAATAGCGTCATAACCCTTCTCGAAAGGGACATGTTTAGAACTACGCGGACAATCGTATGCGATAACGGCCCCGCGTTCAAGAGTGAAAAGCTAGTAAGATGGGCTCGAGATCACAATGTATCGATCAAGTTCTGTGCGCCATACCATCCTGCGGCGAATGGGCTTGCAGAACGTGCCATACGGGACGTGAAACAATACATCAAGATGTACGATAGTTTTCCTGGGGGATGGAAATGTTCTTTAGAAGCAGCCGTAAAACATCATAACCGATCCTACACAAGTGGCTTGGGGTGCAGTCCACAGTACGCTTCTACAGGAGAGACCCCTATTCTGCAGGCAGACCGTGAGTTGGGACTCTTGGAAAACCTCAAGATTGTCGAGGAGAGGCAACAAAAATCACAGGAGGAGAGGTACCGAAAACGAATGAAAAAGAATTTCGACAAGAGGCATCGAGCAGACATGCCAGACATTCAAGTCACCGACCTCGTACTAGTGAGAAAAGGAATAAGAGATTCCAGTGCCAAATTTTATGGGCCTTACTCTGTGACCAAGACAGCCACCCAGAACGGAATTTTGAAGACTGTCTGGTACACTGGTGAACGTGGATCTGTTGAATGTGCTTCAATTGGGAATGTCTTCAAGTATTACCCCAGGAGGGGTAATTAAAAGAAAGCGGGAAGGGTGAAGCGGTATGAGCCTTTGGACAGAAGATGAAGAAGCGCGAGGGCCGGGGCAGGGAGGAAGAGGAGGATGAAGTGAAAAATAAAGCAGATTAAGATGGACGCCAGTTCCATACTGAAGCTTTAATGCTGTTCCGTTATTTTAAGTAGGAACACTACATGTGAAAAGGTGTGCATTCGAGCTCGGCAGCTTTCGCGTGTTTGCCTACGTTTCAGGTCACTCAGGGTAAATAACTATTGGGTGAAAACCGCGCTTCCAGACTCAAAACGAATCATGGCGTATATTTGTTCTCCTAATACCAGAACATCGGAAGTTTCCACAAATCGCAGCTTAGCTGCTCCCGCTGTAACTCCGATTTCTCGCTCAACTTCAGACAAAGGGGGAGTTTTCGGTACCTTGTGTGCTTCAAAGTTTGCGCGAGGCTCGTATGACAAACAATACTAGCAGACGCCAAACTTTGCAAGTGGTTGGTGATGTTGCGGCAAAAAGATGCTGACTGAGACTTGCTGGCTGGCTTTCGCGCAAAGGAAATGTTTTCGCATGCATGACGAAACTTTTCGACCGTGATGTGGGCCTGTTGGCGACAGCCTTTTCCCTAGTGTCGGGCCCTTTACGACCCGCATATTTCTTGCTATGCAGAAAGTGCTTGAAAGCGCGTTTTTCGTTTCACTTTATTTTGATATCATCAAAAATTCCAACAGTGACATTACGTAAGTGGTGAATACGCGTTCGTTACACATTAGTAAGCCATCACAATTGTATACGTGTGTGTCAATAAACATGGCTCTCATGAGTAATATGAATAGATATTTTCATAAACTGTCTAAAAGCAGCATGCAGTAATAGTGAACAATCATGAATAATACGAGTAGATATTTCCATAGACAGTATAGAAGCAGCATGCAGTGATAGTGAAAATGACATCTAGCGTGTTTTGTTCCGAAAAAGGATTGGTTATTTTTCGAAGGTGGATGTGTTGGCCAAGACAGTGATGCGGCGAGGTCTGCCTTAATATGTCTTCTGCCACATGAATAAATGCGTGTGTGCTTCAGACAACTTCGTGACTTTATTTTGCTTTGTTTATTGGCGCGCACAGTTTCAGCTGGACTACGTCCGAGTGGGGTGCCTGCGTTCCTGTACCTGGTGCTCCCTGCAATGGTGGCACGCGACAAAGGAACGTCACATGCATTAGGATCAAAGGTAGCGTTCTTCAGTGTCTGAATGAAACTTCGCGTCGGAATGAAGATGCTATGCAACGTGGCCGACAGGTTGGGCCTATTTGTCTCGACGTGGGAGCGGCCCGCTACGTGCTAGTTTATGCCCTGATGGACCTAAATATTTTTTTTTCATACCATACCACTCGCTTATTCCTGTTAGTGTTTTGGTAATATATGCGCAAAAAGAATGTCTAAAAAGAAGCTTATGAACTCGTAGCACTGCTTACAGTGCAATGCATAGCCAAGATATCGGAAAAAATATTGGAAACTGCCTTCAGTTATTCTTAGAAGTGTGGCAGCTTGGGCTAGTTGGTATGGCATGACGATAGTTAGAGCGCGAGAACAAAATGACGACACAGAGACAAACAAGACACGAAAGACACGAGCGCTAACTTCCAACCTGTCAGTAACCTGTAACCTGTAACTTCCAACCTGTCAGTTAATCGTTCGGGACATACGGGGTCAGCTTCTGGCGCTTCTGTTTGACAAGCGACAGCGGGAGATGAAAACATGAGGAAGAAAAAATGGACCGGAACTCAAAATAATACGCATTACAAAAAATGTTTCAAACTCAATTTTTCGCGTAGCCACTTGACAACTATGAAGTCAGTCGAACTCTCGCAAATTTTTCCTTCTGCTGGGCATGCCATTAGGGCACCCATGGTGTGCTCACGATTGGATGTTACAAAGTGAAACCTTGTCCGGATTAAATATACCGTTTCGTTAAGGGTGGCAGTGATGCTAGCCCAAGTTATTGCGGCAGACACTTGTTAGCGCGTTGAGGCATCGTCGGCTTCACCACTCTTATGCGCAGCAGAAAGCAAGCGCTGACTCACAGTATCCGGGCCTTCATTAGTATACAGTTCGCATAAGTGTATTAGGTTTTGGAGATTCGGATACGGTACATATCAATCCCAGCTATGCGAATAAGCAAAATTACTAGAAAGCACGACTATATATACCAGATACTATGTATAATGACTGTACATAGCGATTCAGTAATGTTGCTACCGTCGGTGCATTTGCACTATAGTTGGTCATCATAACGATCGCTTATGTTATCTTTGGGTAGTTCATAGAGATTAAGAGAACTAAAACTAACCGCCTGCGCATAGGCTGAGTGCATCCATATCTCAGCTATTTCTTCTTACACACCAAGCAGGCGCATGAATATTTATCGTGGTACACTCGAAATATTTCCGAAGCACGTCAGATGCGATGCAATCAGACGATATAGTTCCGGTTCTCTCAGCAATTATCTTAGGTGTGTCGTGGCAACGCATAACTTTGCCCTTTTCAAAATGCCTTCTACCGGCGTGTAATTAGTGATTAACAAAAGTATTTGCGTTATTTCCCTGACACAGGAGCTGTGCGCCATGATGTGTTTTGCATGAAGACGCTTAGCAGGAATACTAATGCACGTACGCACTATACTCGTGCCAGCGACGGGGTCATAGCGCTGATTTGGCTCCGGCATTATACTGAATGAAAGAAGCTCGACGTGAAACTTTTGACCATTTTGTTGGTCTTGAAGGCAGCCGGATGGTAGAATGTTGGAGAAGTTTTAATTCTTCGTGGACCTTCGATGGCAAGTCAGCGTGATTACGAAAACGGTGGTGCGTCTTAAAGGGTCCATGAGAACCAATTTTCGCTCTTGAGCCGTGTTATGTGCGTTAATCCTTGAGTATTAGACAACAAGCTGGTAAAATTTCAGCGCGTTCGGTCGAGAACTTATTTGATAACGAGCGTCTTTAAAAACGCCAAAGTGCCCCGACAGTCTGCAACACTGGCGCACTCGTAAACCATGTTGTAAAAGCCACACTGTGTTCCGGCCAACTACTCTGTTTTGTGGTTATCTGTGCGTGCAATGAAGCTATTAGAGCTTTCTCAAGTTGGGAAATGAAAAGTGAGAGATTTTCAGCGGCTGAAACTTAAGTGGAAGACCACGGTTCCACTCTGTAAGACACATGATGTCACACACTCGCCATGAAAAACTGGCAGTAGTCGGTGGTGCGCGTGGTTTACAGCCGGTGACTTTTAGGGCTCATCTAGCATTTAAATGCTTCTTTAAAGTCAATTTTTTCGTAAATGCACAGGTACAATGAACCCTCTACTTCTATCTTTAGCTGAAAACAGCAATTTGGTGGGTGATTGTGTCATGATTCCTTAATTATGTCGCGAGTGTGCAGCCGGAGAAGGCTGGTCCGGTAACCTCTGTTTCTCTAACTTCTGTGAGCCCAGACTGGACTCCGGTGCCAAGCTATCTGTGCACTTTTCTTCCGCGGCCATCACTGCAAGAGGAGTGCCGAGTGCCGTGCCCCGTGGACTGCCAGGTGTCCCACTGGTCGGCCTGGGGACAGTGTCTGCCCCTCATACGTGGATCACCTTTTCCAGCTCCTGAAGAAGGTAAGTGAAGATGGCATTAATATGCGGGAATTCATTTCATGCCCTACTATACCCTGCTGCCACTATACTGCTCTCACACTGGATGAGATGAAGATCACACCATAGTTTAACGAACACGTGGGCAATAATTATCGCCGCAAACCATAAGGGCTAGGGTTGCAGGCGTCTCCTGTCGTCACGGCGTGTCATGTAGTCCAGGTCCATGATAAAAACGGGCATGCGCGGCAATGGGTATCCATGCCATTACTGACCACTAGTCCACTAAAAATTGTCGCTACAGTTATAGCCTAACAAATAGCCGGCGAGTTCTGTGGAGCGGAAACGCACTTCCCGACATGCCGCTGGTAAGTGACACCGTTCAAGTAGGCATGAGGAATAAGCACCTTCTAAGGTAAGCTGCATTCTATCGCAGTTTTCCAGTGACGTCAAGGAGCGGGAACACCCTTCCCACATGCTCGGTTCCAGGCTTGGTGGCCCCACTAGTGCCTCATCGCAGAAAACTTTCTCAAAACACTGCGTGCTTGGCCCCTTCTGAGGTTTCACGTGGGTGTAACTGAAATACCCTTTCCTACGTGCTTCTATCCTCCCCAGTTTTTTTTTTTTTTTATTGAACAAAGAGTTCAACCCACGATGAGAACACTACTGCGGCGTAACCACCACTCGACTCCCCTCGGTAGTCCAAAGGGACGAAACACGAAGCCCAAATCTGGGAAATATTAAAGCTTCACCTAATGATAATGATGATGATGATCATAATTTTAAGAAACACAGGCATTGTAGCACAAAGTTTCGCGCAATTCCTTTGCAGGTTACCGAGTCCGCACACGGCGTGTACTGACGGCGCCCTCTCGTGGCGGTGCGAATTGCCCGCACCTGAAGGAGGTTGAGAGCTGCGATCGAGCCGTGCTGTCTCATTGGGAACTCCAGCCGTGGGGCCCCTGCAAGCCCCTCTCTGAAGGAAACTGCGGCGACGGCGTACAGACGCGAGACGCAAGATGTGTTTTCTTCGACGGAGTACGATGCCCTTTCATTCATTCAATCTGACTTGATTAACAGTAGCGCCTTGTGTCAATATTTATGCAACGATTACGTCCCCGATGAAATAAGTAACGTACGTGAGAATAATAGTAACAGTAGCGTGGTCTAAGGCTCTCAGTCGGGGTAACAAAAACTTAGCCTACAACACGACTCTTGTGAGAGAGAAAAAAAATGATAAAAAGTGGAGTGAATACCTAGACTAGCAGTTCATAAAAATCTTTGAAGGAATACTTTCTACTCAGCCTGCTTTACAGCACCTTTGGTTTTCATTCTGAACAAGGCTTTTTTTCACGAAAACCGCCCCGCTGTGGTGATCTAGCGGCTAAGGTACTCGGCTGCTGACGCACAGGTCGCGGAATCAAATCCCGGCGGTGACGGCTGCATTTTTTTTATGGTGGCGAAAACGCTGTAAGCCCGTGTGCTCAGATATTGGTGCACGTTGAAGAACCCCAGGTGATCGAAATTTTCAGAACACTCCACTACGGCGTCTCTTATTATCATAAGGTGGTTTTGGGACGTTAAACCCCACATATCAAACAATAAGTTCTTCGTGAAAACCTAAAATTTATATTTATTTTGCTCATCTCTTCTGCGGCCAGAGTCTATGTTTCTTCTACTTTTACCACGTTACATACTAAACAAAAAAAGTTTAGGCTAAAACCTTGACTTCCAAAAGCACACGGTGAAAAGAAGTGCTAAGGTTCCGAAATGCGTGTCTGCAATGGAGAAAAGGTAATTTGGATAAATTCAAAGATTTCGAGCATTTGAGGTATTGCTGGAATAAACAGTGGTATGTATCTCGCCAGTTAGAGGTCACTTATGCCAGATTGCGCTGTGCAGTTCCACAACTCAATTATTACCTTATCAAAGATCGACTCAAGGCGTTACCGCTATCAATTTGGTGCAACGAAATTGAAACAATTGAACATTTCTTTTTATTGTGTCATCGTTATTCTTATCAGAGAAAAAGATTTTTAGTAGCCCCATTACAAAAGCTAGGAATACAAGTAAATCTACCAGTAATTTTATCACTTGGCAGAACTTCATTTGGCTACTGCCACAGGGATATATGCTCCACTGTGTTTGATTACATCAACGCAACTAAAAGATTACCGTGCTAGTGAACCCTAACCGTTTCAGATCTTTAGTTTATAATTCGTAGCTATGTCTGTCAAAAACAAGAGATAGTTTGACCGCTTGCTCAGCAAACATTTTTGTTTTTGGTAGTATTATTTTTAAACTACTTTTTCAGATTGGCTTCATTTTCATTTTAGCTTCACTTAAGTATCCTGCCACCCGGTTCTTGGCCCATCCCCCTCTGTGGGTGAGCGCAATCCTTCAGAGATCATCAGCATCAGCATCAAACGCTGGCATGTTAACCACGGTCGCGTCCGCTTGTGTGCACTAATCTCACGGGATGGTGACTTGGACGAAGGCAGCAGCGGGCGGGTTCAAAATGAAACTCTTTATTTGGCCTGAACTTGTGACTGGCAAATGAAAACCCAAAGTGCGGCAATACACACTGTGCACTGGTAGCGGCGTAATTCTAACTAACAGAGTGATCCCAGACAATCGTGAAGCTTCACGAAAGGTGGCCAATGTCACCCTTCAGTGGGGCCACATAGTGTTCTAGTGGGGCACTAGGACAATAAAACTAAGCGTACTTCCTTATGAGCTTCTTTGTTGGGAGACCTTGCTGGGCAGTCAGCCATCGTTTGAATCCCTGTCTGTGTTTCCTCCCCCCCCCCTCTTGTCTTTTTCTTCTGCGAGGCAGAAAGTGGTGGACGATGCACACTGCATCATCTACGAATCACCGATAATGAAGGAGCGCGAATGTACGGTGCCGTGTCCGGACGACTGCGCTCTGTCCGACTGGTCGCCATGGTCATCTTGTTCCTCTCTGTGTGCCGAGCGGCTGGACTACGGCGTCCAGTTCCGAAACCGCTCGATACTCGGACACGCTGGAAAAGGTGGGTACCTCTGCATTCAGGAAAGAAATGAAGAAGTTACCAACGACCCGACTGGCAGCACGGTGCGACTAAAAGAACAGATGAATGTTTCTTTCTTGAATTTCAACGCTTTTTTTTTTTTCGGAAGGAACTCTACTCATTTCTGCTTGCAGTAATATTATATAGAGTGCCAAAACCACGATATTATGGGGAAGCATGTCGTAATGGGGAATTCCAGAAATTAACGAGCACTGGCTTCGCTCTACACGGTCTTCGAACATTTCGCCTTTGTTGAACCATAGTTTCCTAAAATTAACTAGAGGAGACTTTGGCGCTGCGATCGTTCAGAGACCATGGTAATGATCGGTAGGGCACGGATTTGCCTAGTCTTCGTACTTGCGGGCTTCGAACGTGCTTGTGGCTTTGTTTATTGCTTTGTTTTCGTTTTGTTTCGAAGGAAAGAACGAACCGTTTTGTACTGCGCGACTCGATTTGAACTGGTGAGCCTAAAATGTTAAGGTGGTGAAATTCAACTGCTTAATATTTGCCGATTGTCGCCTCGTGATAAAGCGGCTCCAAGTCACCTGAAGCCAACCGGATCCGGGAGTACGAATATTAGACAATTTCGTGTACTACCCAACATTCCCATGTTCCCTGAATTGCCGTGTGTTGCAACGCCCAAATACACTCGTGCCAGAGCTCCCTCTAGTGTATTTATAGAAAACTATGCATCGAAAAGCGTCCGCCAGAGTCAGGATCAAACCCACGGCTCGAGATGCGAAGTGCGGAATAAAAAAAAAACAGGGAAATTCCGGAGAACAGACTGTTTCTTTTTCCGCGCAGTTAGAAAAGCTGACCGAAATTTCCATGGGTTAAACGTACTAAAGATAAAGCTTTTGCAACACCCGGTGCTGAACGTGAAACCAAAACATCGCAGATGATACCAAAACACCAAACGACGGCTGACCATTCACCATGGACATCACGTATAGTCAGCTTCAGCGTCAGCTTAACTTATCTTAACATAGTTTCGTCGTTCGGGTGTGGTCGTGTTCGGGGCGACTCGTGATGTTCTCGTACTCGCTATTGTTAAGTTTTAACTTTCCCTCATACACTTCTGCCACCAGCGGCGGACATCTGATTATAAAGCCGTGTGCAAGCAGATTCTGCACTGGTTGGGCTAACTTCTCATGTGAATGTACTTCATGGTCGAAGAGACGGCTGGCGGGAAGCGCAGACTCACTCTCTGTAAGCACTGCAACAGCAGCTAAGTTTTTCCCAACGTAACATCTTAACATGATGAAGAATGCTACAGATGCAGCCAGTGATACTGACTCTGGCTAAGAGTTTGCACTTCGTCTTTTTACCATCTTAATTAATGTTTCGATAGTCGAAGTCACCACAAACTAGACACTTTTTGGTTCTTTTTTCTATCTTCTATAACAATTCTGGGAAGCCACACCAGTCCACAAAGTGCTAAATGAATTCGCGATAATGCTTCTGGCCTGCTATTTATTTGTCGAATGCTGTATTTGTTTGTGAAAAGAGAGGAGGCATTTATTTTCTGGTATTTACTGAATAAAAGTTATTGCTTTTGACGTTTGGCAATAAAGTATTAGCATATGGCGATAAACTATTGCAATATGTCAAAGAAAATTCATTTCATTCATTTTCATTTTTCCAAAATTTCGGGAAAAAAAGGGTAAACAACTGTTTTTTTTTCCGACTGCTCAATATTTTCGGAAATTTGGCATCTCTACCCACGGCCCGTGGTTCAGCAGTCGGGTTTTCGATTTAGTTTCAGGCTACTGTCAGGTAGATTATTCGATTTTGAGATGACTTGTGGATTTGGAAATGCATGCCATCAAACTAACGTTGGATATTGTTGCTGTGCTGCCTTTTTTGTACTAAACGTATCCTTATGCATACATATGTAAGCATACAGTGCGCCGAAATTAATTATAACACGCGGGCGACAAACACAAAGGAAGTATAGGGAATCTTATTTACAGCTGATACGACATAAATTTGAAGAAAGTAAACTGATTGAAAAAATGATACCACCCGCAAGACCGAACCTGCCACTTTCGGATCCAAATGTTGTAAGTTTGGTGGCGATGGCCTTTTGTATAACTCGTGTTGACGCAATCAACGAGGGACGCAGACGGTCAATTTTCGCGCTTCATGAGACGTCTAAAACTTTCCCTCTATTACCTGGTCGATAGAGGCTCGTACAGCTGTACCAATAACGTGCGCTTCTGAAGTAAGACCGAACAAAGGCGAGAAAAGAAAACATTCGCGCTCTTGGCGCTCTCTCGAGGTTGGCGTCCGAATTCTCGGATCGATAGCTTTCTCTTGCGCAAAGAGACGGCAGCACCGCACAGGCCTCGCGCCATGAACTCGTGTCATTTTCTCCGGCTTGCACAAAGTCGGTTTCAAATGAGAACGGGCTAGTTCACGCCCCGACTGACATAAATAAAGCTGTTCTATACCATACCGAAAGCGACTGCCGTTAGCCGGTTGATTTGGCTTAGGACTGATGTTCCGTTGTGCTATTGTTTACTTTTCAGTTCACTGAGCGTGACAACGAAAACCTGTCCGCATCTTTGAAAGCAATAAGTTTCGTTTCTGTCCCACCTATTTTTTTGCAGAATAAGTTTTGCAACCTGCGATCGACCACATTCTCGTAATGAAGTACGCAACTGAAGTTTATAGAAGATGCTAAATGGCACTTATTAAAATGACAGGAATATTGTAATTTAGTTCACTTACAAAAGCCTGCTTTTTTGTTATTCATTGAAACATATGAGTAGCTGAAGGAAATGAAAGTAGCTAATACTATTTTTTTTATTGATTTTAACCATGAGCCACAGCCATCTCTCCTATTCTCTGCCTGTAGTAGGAAACGCCTACGGGAAATGTCTGACAAAATTTTATGTATTAACTGGCGAAAGAAATACCACCAATTCTACAACAAAGCGCCGTGTTTCTTAGGTCATACTGACCTTTTAATGCAAAAGCTTCAAACGCAGCAAACTTGTCAAAGTTATCGCATCTGAAAACTTAGAAGCACTGAATTCATCAGCACATCTTTGGAATCGCGTCGCTTTGAGAGATGCCCTCACTTATGATGCCTTCGAAGCGCTAAGCTTAAAAAGAATCACGAAATTTTCAGCGCCCTGACGTGCTTTGTTCGGGATAATGTGCTTTTTCGAGAAACAAAAGAGGTGTGTTACACGTTGTGTAACATACATGATAAAGGAAGCTCGCAGCAGTGACACAAGGCTGCTTGTTTCTCCACGTCGCGTCTGTACGTTCGAAGGGGAGTGACATGTGTCAGAACCAGGCGACCATAGTTTTCAGCATTGTCAATATGATTAGATGAATAAAGCTAGTTCAACAAGCAAAACAATAAATTGGTGGCGTTTCATTGCTACAAACTCCTTTACAATTCAAAAATTTATTGATGTTTCCACAAGCAGTGTGTTTTTCGACGCTGCAGCTTCATACACCTTAGCGCGTGTAGTATGGGGTTACAGATACGCGTAGCGCGTGCATAAACACACGTGCACTAAGGTGAGCAGTCTCAAGGCACGTTCACACTGATCGCGGTGCATGAATGGGGCGTACCGTGTCGTACGTGGACCCGTCGCCATCATGCGGCGCTATGCGATGATGGGTGTTTGCGTCTGAGCCCCTGATTGGTTGCGGCTAAACTGGGCAACTTTCGCGCGGAGAGAATTGGTCAGCATGCGTGCGTTCGGTCAAGTGACCACGGAATTTCGACGCATGCGGCTGATACACCTCCGCTTTCCAGACTCGAACTCAATATGAATGCGCGTTCCGCCTTACAAAAAGACAGAACCACTTGTCCAAACGCTCACTCAAGCAATACCCTGTATCCGAAAATGTTTTCACAGGTGAAAATGCCTGAGGCCAAAGTGCATAAATTTCATCATCATCAGCCTTCTACGCCCGCTGCAGCGTAAAGGCCTCTCCCATGATCCACCAATCAACCCGGTCCCGTGCTTTCTGCTGCCACGTTATACGTGTAAACTTTTTAAGCTCATTCACCCACCTAACTTTCTGTGTCCCCTTGTGCGTTAGCCTTCCCTGGGAATTCAGTCAGTTACCCTTTATGACCAGTGGTTATCCTGCCTGCGCTGTACGTACCCGGGCTGTGTCTATTTCTTCTTGATTTCTACTATGATATAGCAATAGGATGGAAAGGTGGACTAGTTGGTTCCTTAACCCCGGTTTGTTCCCTGAGCCACTTTGCTCTCTTCTTGTCTCTTAAAGGGCCCCTGAAACGTTTTTTTTTTCAAGTAACAAGGGAGTGAATTCACTGAAAAAGCTTATTGCCTCACGAATTCAACGCCGCAATAAATTTTAGGAATCTGTCCGGTGCAAGTGGAGTTACAAAGGTTTGTCGCATGCTGCAGTTGCATTCTCTCTTCTCTCGTCCCGACGAAAGCGCTAGAAGCTAAGCATGGAGGGATGGCAGGGCCACAGAAAAACGTCACACACGCCTCGTGGCCTTAAGCACTTATTTGAAGACGAAAAAATTTTGGTCTGTCTGTCTGTACATGTGTCTGTTTGCCCACTGTTAACGGCACTGGGTGCTTGAAACGGCCGACCCCATCTGTAGCACCCACCAATGTTCCTCAAGATTTAGCGTTCATACTTGTGCAACTGTCAATTAAATAGCAATTATTGCGCATGTCTGGGGCACCATAACGACACCTATATATTCTGCATGTGCGTCTTTTACTAAAAAAGGCATACATAGGTAATTTTAAGGATCGTAGCGCTTATCGCGCTGCGCTGACCATGCAACGCTTGCACGAAAAGGCGAGTGTTTCCAACACTTTGCTAAGACGAGACGGTGGTGGCACCTACCCGTCGCCTTGCGTTCTACACATTATCACCTCTGAGACGGGCGCGCGCACCTGTCTGAGAGCCACGCGTTTTGTTTTCCAAGAAGACTGCCAGATGGCGCTCATGTATCGTGTGACGTGACTTGATGCGCTCGTTCGCCTCCGCTGCACGCTCGAGGCAGTCTAACGTAGCACCTCCAAAATACCATTCACCAATTTTCTCGCGCAGAACATCAAATAATTGTTTTGTTCACTCTCTCCACACGCAAGACTGTCGTCTTCCGACGACATTTGGAAATTATGGGCAGACATGGGGCCAATATTTTTTTCTTCGAATGTGCCGCTTTTTCAGTGGGAAACTCGCGCACACGCGTGGACAAGTCGCGGTCTCCCGCGGCGATCTCTGTAACGAGCGAGTGCGCCATAGTCAAATCAGCTAATGGCTGATAGATTGGTAATTCGCGCCTTATTTTCGGGCATATTGCGCCATTTGTCGAGAAAAGAGAAAGCACTTTTTAGCTGACTTTGATAACTTATTGTGAATTCCAGGCCCCGTGTTGTGCTATATTATTTGGCTCGCGTGTTCTCGGGAGCCTGTACAACAGATCGGCAGCGTTTACTGACCATGCTGAAAAAAGTGTTGCAGGGACCCTTTAAGGTTACACCTACCATTTTACTTTCCATCGCTCACTGCGGCGTCCATAATTTGAGCTGAACCCTCTACTTAAGCCTCCAGATATCTGCTCCGCAGAAAAGTACCGGCAAGATGCAGCTGTTATATGTATTCCTCATTAAAGCAAGTGGCAATCTGCTATTTATGATTTGAGAATGCTTGCCGAATTTGATCCTCACTATTCTCATTCTTCTAGTTATTCTCATTCTCATCCTCACTATTCTCATTCTTCTAGTAGTCAAAAGTAGACATATTTCTTTGCAACTTCCAGAGTATCTTCCACTATCGCAAAACGATGTTGTTTTTTTGCCGGAACTGTTGCACAATACTTTAGTTTTATGTGCATGTTGAAGATCGCCAGGTGGTCGAAATTTCCGGAGCCCTTCACCACAGCGTCTCTCACAATCATATCGTGGTTTTGGGACGTTAAACTCTAACAATTATTATTCAGATTTTTTTCGCCTCTGTAAGGCTTCATCATCCCTTGAACATGGCATGGTGTACCTTACGAAACGCCTACCACAGGGTTAAGCTGATCTCTGTGTTGAAACTGCAGGTGGTGCCCCGTGCCCCAGAAAATCTGAATTGTCGGAGAAGGAAGACTGTAACATCGTGCGCTGCTCCGGCATGTACTGGAAGACCGACCCCTGGGAAAAGTGCGTCGCGGAAAACGCCACCAGCCGCTGTGGCCGCGGAAGACAAAACCGCGCCGTCAAATGCTTCTTCAAAGAAAACAAAGTATCCGACAAGAAGTGAGTTGGCGCGATGGCGTAAGACTTCTGTTAACTATGGTAGCCCGAGAACTTAGTCCAGTCGCAATCAGTTTTAGTGTTTGCGTGAGCCCTCAGAAAGTGGGGACGTGCCGTTTATCTTCCCCTTTCTCTTCTGCTTTCTACTTCAGGTGCTCTCCGCTTAAGAAGCCAGCCAATTCCCAGCCTTGCAACGTGCCTTGCCCAGTCGATTGCCAAGTGACCAATTTTTCTGAGTGGAGACTATGCAGAGACTGTGGCGATGGTGAGTTATCGGCTTTGCAATCGTGTACCTCAGGGTCGGATTCCCGTTTTTGTACTCATTAGGAGTACATGATTAGACACTTGGAAAGCTTAATTCAGCAGTCAAATGAATCAAACTAGTCTGACCTTACTATTTGACGCGTAGTACTTATTGTGCAATAAGCAACATCACTGTTAGTTCAGAACAATTTTGGTGGGTAGAAAAGCATGCGAGAAAGCCTCAAACTGAACTTGAAGTAATAGGCAACAAACCCTAAAAAAATCATGTAAAAAGCGAAGAGTGTTGGTGAACTAACGAGAATCTCTCATGTAATGCATTATTTTTTTATGGCGTCCAGCTTCTTTTGTGGCTATATGACACAAATTTTGGTGTTTCTTCCACATTGGCCCCTGCAATGTAATATTGAGGATATATACGAGTATGTCAGAGTTCTCAACGAAATGCATTAGCTGGTCCGTACACGCGAGCGGCGTGCTTCTGTCATTTTATCAGTTCCTGAAAAATCATCTCACGTAAAAAAATAACTGCACAGAAAAGTTTAGAATCACATGGGAGACAACAAAAAACTTCTTCCCCAAAAGGTCAATTTTATTGATATCTGTTTTTTATGTGTTATTGCACTCGCCACTACTTTCCAAAGCAATGGAAACATCACGAAATTTTTCTCGTATTTCACGCAGCGATTTCGTAACAGTCTGAGCTTTTTATATAAGGTATTCTGGCATCAAATATCTGCAGCCAAAGTAACCGTATCCATAAGGTTTCAATTAAAAGTGTCGAGAACTGAACACTGCTCGTGTAAATGTTAACCCTTTCATATTTATGATTTTCCTCGCTTACACGCCTGCCAAAGAACGGCGGTGACACCAGACATTCTATCGGAGGCAGAAGGAAAGCTCCCTTTGCGATGATATAACAGTGACTTATAACAATTTATTTTTCGCCATGACAAGCTCGTACGTAAGGCATACATTTACGTGTAGATAACACGTGCGGCGGAAAGCGCACATTTTGCACGATCGGAAGTAGGCCCATAAAAAGGGCCTAGCCTGAACCAAGTGACAGTTTGAGCATGTGATTGCAATATTTATTTCTTTTTCTGTCTCATGCTGATACAGACACAAAACTACATGGCGAGCATTGCAACACGTGTTTCTAATACATATTTGCAGGTTTATGGAATTTAAATGTAATCTGCCATCTTTAAAAGTTGTTCAGTTACGAAAGCATTGTCAATAAACATTTTGAAAATGCTAAAAATAGTGGATTTCGCAAACATTTCTGTTCTTGCTTATTTTATGCCAAGCTATAGCATCGCTGTTCCTTGTTGGAGGAACTTTTCGGAGCACAATCATTCTTCCTGAACACAGAAGCCGCGCAGTTATACAAACGGACACTCACACAGGAAAACAAGGCGGTGTCTAAAGCTGCGATACATGCAGCGTCATTTTTTAGCCTCTCAGACGAGACTTCAGTCTTGGTGATAATGCTTGAAAGCGCCTAAATGACCCTGGATACCATGATACAAGCTTAAGAAAGCTCGAAAATACTGAAATATGGGAAATACACATGTTCAGCTTTCTCGTACACTTTCTGCTGGTAGTGCAGCCTTTTTTCAAAAGATGCAGGGGAAATGACAATACAACCAGCAGTCGAGGGTTGCCCGGTTACGGGGACAAACGGCACAATCAAAAGAATGAAGAAAAATGAAATAACCAAGCACACAACAATACTAAACCTCGTACCCAGTGTAGCCCAGTCTATAGCCGACGCCGATTATGTTGACATACTACGAGTTCAAGGTCGGGCCATATAAAATGCACGGACCTAGAACATTTCCTAAGCCTCGTTTTCGGTTCCTCTCTACCATAACGCCCACGCTCAACCAGGAACTGGGCCTGTGCTGGTGCGCGAGCGGTTCGTGCTTCGACGAGAGACACCGGGTGGTCAGCCATGCCCCTGGCAGAGCCTTCGCGAAGTGAAGCTCTGTGGCCCTACCGGTGGCGGGCCCTGGTGCATGCTGGGACGAAACTTGCACTACGGCCGGGGTCCCTACCGCTGGAGCACGTCGCCATGGTCACAGTGTGTCCTTGCTCCGGATGCCCGCTGTGGAAGCGGACACCAAGAGCGCAGTGAGTCGTCTACCTTGCCTAGAAAGCGTTATACAATGATTTAAATGGTCCTAAACAGTTATATTCACTGCACGTGCAGGAAGCTGGTGACAATCTAGAGGTAGTAATCGTGATCATTACTTGCGATATATTACGCACTGACTGAAGTATATGAGTAGATACAATGATTTAAATGGTCCTAAACAGTTATATTCACTGCACGTGCAGGAAGCTGGCGATAATCTAGAGGTAGTAATCGTGATCATTACTTACGATATATTACGCACTGACTGAAGGATATGACTAGATACAATGATTTAAATGGTCCTAAACAGTTATATTCCCTGCACGTGCAGGAAGCTGGCGATAATCTAGAGGTAGTAATCGTGATCATTACTTGCGATGTATTACCCACTGACTGAAGGATATGAGTAGCCAAATCGGATATGGAATAACCTACAGCGGGTCGCAGTTCTCTTAGCATCGTATAGAATGTAAGCTGGCTTCAGTTGGCGCCGTGTAATAATAATATAAATCGTTGAACTAAGGACGTGAACAGCAAGATCATCATTGAAATTCAGCGACAATGAATAGGTTTTGCATGAGCCTTATGTCGTTAGGGCAACGAAATTTTCTTTCTTTTTTTTTCTCTGTCATTCCACATGCTAGTTTCCCAACATTCATTCTTATTGTTGAGTGAAATTCTTGCGCAGGCCATTCGAAGGAGTGTGCCTCTATTGCACCGTACGTAACTGTGGCACTGATTAGTATTGTTTTTTTTTTCCTCGTGAAGTCTGAAAATACTCTAATGGCACTTCCTCCAACTGCTCTAGGGTAGCTTGTGAACGCATGTGTATTCAGGAAAATGTGTGTTAAGAAACAAGCGCGATTATTGACCTCCACACAGGGACTTCGAACTTTGGGCTTGAGTTCTGTTTATGACTATTCGAGCGCTAAAAAAATGAAATGATCTCCCTAGACCAGAACTATTCCAATGGGTCTCTATACACGTAAATGCTAGTGACCTGTTAACTCAGTTTTTTTTCACCAGGAGTGGCACTATTAGTTAATTTACCGCTAAGGTCGGCCGAGGCAAGCCCCCGCCGCCCGGAAACGCTGCGACGTGTTACTTTCTTAAACTCTTGGCAATGCTTGACAATTCTGAGCATACATTCTCTTTGCATTACAGATGTATCATGCGTTGATTCGAAGAACATTCCCACGGAGCCAGCCATGTGCATCAACCTCACCAGCGCCATCGTGAACTCGCGTGCGTCAATGCTCTCTGCACCCCCTGCTCACCGGGAATGCCACGTTCGCTGTCACGACCAGTGTGCCGTGTCCGAATGGTCACCATGGTCACCGTGTCCTCGGTCTGATGACGCAAGCATCTGTGACGAAGACCCCGTGAGCCGCCGCACACGACAACTCATTGGTGAGCAACTTCGCTTAAGAGTGGATTGTTGATAAAGTATATGCAGGAGACAACGCTATATTGCGTGACGAACTGAAACAACACAAACCACTGCGAAAAGTTTCTCGTCCTTTCCCATATTACAGCATTCTTTTCAGACCTACATATAATTACACAACAAATACGTATACCTCCCTGCATTGACAAGGTCGTTGCGTCAGCTAAATAGGAACGAAGAGTAAGGAGGTGTACTACGTAGCCACGAGAAGATGGTGTCTCTAGAGTAGTCTGCTCTCCGGAAACGATGATTGCGATTTACCAAAACAGATAACCTCAATGATATAGTGTGCTTAGGAAATTGTAGCGAACCAGGTTGCATAGATTGTATAGTGATATTTCTATTTTCATCTGCCGTGGTTGCTTACTTGCCATGATGTCGCACTGCATGCTAAGCTAGAGGATTACAGTTTAATGTCAGACCACGGCGGCCGTATTCACAAAGGGATGAAGTACAAAACGCAACCTTGACGGATGCTCAAGATTTGTCTTTAAGAATTAAACGCGATGGCATAATTGGACCCAGCGCGCATCACCTTCTAAAATTCCAGCCTTCATTCGGTTTCGGTGGATGCCTCTACTGTCCCGTAAGAAAACTAACGTCTGTGCGCGTCTCGTTGACCATTTCCAGCTATTCTAGGATGCTAATGCAAATACAGTTGCGAACTGCTCTAAGCCAACTGTTTAATTTGTTCATTTATTGTTTCTAAATTTTACTTACTTTTTTTATTATTAGGCATTCTGGATATCAGTCATTTGGGTTCGGAAACAGAACAAGAAGATAGGACTGGCAAGACTGTGACCAATTTCTATCACTTACTGCTAAAAAAAAGTCATGGAACATGTAATATTTATCTGACTAAACAATTACATTGAAACATAATACCGGCTGTCTGACCCCCTAGCGGCATCGGAAAGTGTCTATCAATGGAAGCTGTTATGCTTCAACTACATCAAAATATCCTTGACCAGGCCGAGTGTGAGCCATTCGGACCATCCTGGGCCTGGACATCATTAAAGTTTGACAATGTAGCACATCAGGTAATCTTAAATCGCTTATCCAAGTTGAATGTGAGCGAAATAACGCTCGCCCACACTCTCCATTTCCTCAAAGAAACAGAACGGCAACCATTCAATTGGCAGAAATGTTTTATCAAAGGTTACAATAAGGACAAGAGGAACCCCTTAAGGTGCCGTCCTCTCGCCCCTACTTTTTAATATCATCACTATAAACCTACCACACCAACTAAACAGGATACCACACGTCAAACATTCTTTATATGTGAACCATGTTACAATCCGGACAAACAATGGTTGGGATGGTGCAATAAATGATGATTTACAGGGGAGGGGGCACCAAAGATTGTACAAGAGTGCGGAAGGCGCGCTGGTTTAACATCCTCTCCTTAGAAACGAGAACTCGTAGTCATTAAATATAAAGCCGGAAAGACGCCAGACACCGGCATCCTACAACAAGCACCGTTAAAGATTGTGTTGTAAAGCCACCCGCTTATTCCGTTTTATAACCATTCAATTGCAGGACACGCTCATTCAGTTTAACACGCAAAAAACCATGGCCTTGGAAAAAGTGGAGAATACCTCCCAACAAATCGTTGGACTGGACAGGAGAGTGGCCGACACACATAGAGACAGAAAGCAGGTAGATATGTGTAGGCTCATTCAGACTTTTCTTGTGAGCCACGCAGTGTGGTTTTTCCCCCGTTATTATATCAGGAAGTCATACATGAATAAATGGAAGGCTATAATTTTACAGGAATAAAAATGGCCGTTAGATATGTATTTTCATACCAGCAGAGAATCTCCTCCAACTGGTAGTGCATGACGCTCTATAGAAGCTGGTCGAAATGCACAGAGGTGTACAAAAATATCACGGCTATCACACTCGATGACAGGAATACATATTCTATATAGACTGAAAATTAAGCTGATAAATACCACCGGAGGTAGTGCAGCACTATTTCCCTCAATGAGACATTACCTGGTGATTGATTAACACACAAAAAACCTTGCTACAGATACGTTGTCTTGAGAAAAGCTAGAGCACTTATTTTAAACAAAAAGCACAAGCAAGACGAAACTGTGGTCTTCGTCGATGCCGCCAGCAAGGAACACAATACAAACTGTTGCGACCCGTCTTTGCAGACACCGGAGATTCGGGTTGAAGTTTTCGAGGCAGTAGGAAGGTGAAGCTATCAGAGGTTTCTTTTACAATATGTACATGGCGAGCTCATTCGTACATGGCGAGCTCTCCTCGAATGAGCCGGGTGGCTCATTATAAAGGGTACGTTTTCCCCAGATCCCTAAATCAGGGAATGCGAGCAGATTGCACTGTCCAATCACGTGTCACACACAAACTGCGAGGGTGACGCACATACACGGCCAAGAAAACGTTCGTTATTGGGGCGTGGTCACTGCACTGCAATGGGACACCAACGTGACTTTTCTTTGTCGTGTATGTGCCGCTGGGTGAGGGGTCCCAAGCTCACGACAGCATAGATCAAAAGGGCCGCCGCAATACCTCAAAATGGTTCACCGAACTAATCGATCAATTAGCTGGGCGGTTTGCGGCTGCCACCGCTGTCTCTTCCAAGGTATATGTTGCAACAGCGTAAACACTTGCCGTCGTCTCGTGAAACGGCTTACGGCGCCGGTTGACACGACGCCTCACCTTCCGGCTAGGAAGGACAATACATGGCGGACATATACCACCAGCAATTTGGTGACTTGTTTGAGGATAAAAAAAAAACGCCGCTCTCTTGTCAGCGCAGGCGGCGGTCGCAACAATACACGCCGAGTGCTGTGGACGGAGAATTTAGAAACGCTAATGTGGCTTCAACTAGAGAACCGCGTTATTCAAGGACGCCGAGGAAATGGCCGCAGCACTGGCCACCGTTAAACAGTACTCACGTTGTCTTTAGCAATTCTAAGAGTGCACTTCTCGGCTTTATGAGGAAGAGTGTGGGACTGAATACGGCTAAGGTGTGGAGAAATTTCAATCAGAACGACAGAGCCAAAATAAATCTAGTTGAGGTCCCCACTCACTAAAAATGCCCCGGTAACCAGGAAGCACTTAGAGAACCAAGGGTTAACAAACCGAGTCGCGTTTTGTTTTAAACTGCCCCCCCACCTCGTTCCCTAAACCGGTTTCAAGCAAAGCGCATTGTAGAAGGTCATTGTCTCACGACAGGAAAGAGAATGACCTCCTACAACATCCTTACAAATATGTACAAAAATGACAAGGAATTAGGCAGGTTTGTAAACTTCTAAAAAATGTTAAAATATGACAATCTAAAGAACGGGTACATCACGAATTAAAGACGAAGTTTAGGTGCGTTTTTCCTGCTTCTGTTTTGTCTTTGTTCTTTCTAAGTTTTTCACTGGGTCGATTTCTCTAGATCGTGTCTGCAGTCTCCGGCTACCACTTCTCTAATAATGATGGCGCTGTATTTTTGCTTATGGCTCTTGCTTTTAATTTGCCTTATTTACGATCATTGCCTAAGTTCCGGGATCGTAATATATTTTAAAGTATAAACACTTTTTTCTCGTTTTTGCTTAGTGTCTACCGCGTGCTGTACAGAAGCACGTGGCAGACACTTGCTTCCACGGCCAGTGTTCTTGATCCCACATGCAACTTTGCGAAAACGCTTGTTCTAGGTGTATCGAGCCCCAACTGTCTTGTGAGCCTTACCGAGGAACGACCGTGTCCCCCGACGCAAAATGTCAAGGTGGAAAATGCGGATTGGAGCGACTGCATCCTTCATGGAGAGGCACTGTGCGGCGCCGGACTTCGCTTTAAAATGATGTCGGCAAGTGGGAGAACATGCGGGTCCACTGGTATGTATTTTATTCTCTGTGTGAATATGTTAACGTTTGAAATGCAAGCCTTAAACGACCACTGACGGGTTATGACAAATGTAGGCGATTCTTCCTCTTCCTTTTTTGTTCATTGTGTGACCGTCTACTGCGTCCTATCAGTTTACGTTACATGATAGGGGCTATGCCTATCTATACGTGTAATGGAAAGAAAGAATGACAATAAAATAATGGCAAAGAAGTTGACCAGGGCTGAGCCCGGTAGGCTTCCCTGTGCTGGGGAAGAAATGAGGAGGTTACAGAGGAGGAGAGAAGTCACTTATACATGCCTAATAATTGTAAGTAAGTGATTTTTAAATGAAAACAAAAAAGTGAGCCCCGTAACTGTCTCTCAGGGGTAGGACGCCTCAACAGTAGCTCACGAGGGGTGGGGGTAAGGAGGGATTAAAAGGATAGGATTAAAAGGTATAGAGATAGAGAGAGCGGAAGGAGAGAGTGAGGCACAGAGACAGCCACATGCGCAAGTAAGGAGAAGATATGAAAGATGGACACGGTCGCAGGAGTCCGAGGACGGGCGTCAGGAGATGGCGTAGGGCGAGCCAGTCGGCCAGAGCTGCGCTGCCATCGGAGATCACGGGGGCACAACCGGTCGGCACGAAATCCAGCGAGCGAGTCGCTTAATAATTGTCTTAAACTTTGTGCACTGAATCTGGGGTGTTCTAGAAAATATGTTGATATTTCTACGTGCGCTTTACTTGAATGTGTTCGGTTTTCATTCGCAAAGACTGCTAATATTGCTCGGTGCATAGCGCGCCGCCATGTTTAAGCAGCTTCATAGATGTTTGAGATCATTTGATTAAGATAGCGTGTGGGAGCGAATACTCCAGTTTATTCGAGAGCTTACGCGGCCACTAGCAAAAACACTCAAATCTTCGATAGCACATGAATAACAAGCCAATGCATTTTATCGCGTGGCGGATGGCTGAAGACCGACGCTCTGGTCGCTGCGAGCACTGTGTAACGTCTATTGCACGTCGTTCGACCACTCGTTTACCGGGCACAGCTTCGTCTAATGAAGTTTCCGTCTTGAGCTCCCCGACTGGTGCCTTTTTCAAGGTCACGACCACGAGACAATAGCAACTGCTTTGATATGCGTACCCGAAATTGAGGAACATTTTCATTCGCCGAGAGTTCTGTTTGAGTAGACGCTGTCCTTTCTACTTCTCTTGTTTGCGCCTGTGACGAACTTTGAATTACGCAAGCTCAGACAGAATCATCGACCAACTAGCCGAATTCGCTGTCATAGTGACGCCTTTTTTTACATCTTACACATAAATCAATATTTTGTATGCCTCTAACAGTGTTCTCTCAATCTGGCTGTTTGCTTTGTGAACTTTTGATGGTTGCTTGTATGCATAATGTCTTTCGGTGTTTTGAAGCTGGCTAATTTATACAAACGATGCTTCTAAATTAGAATAGGTTGATCAGACCTTTTTGTTTTTCGGCAAAACCAGTTGTTCATTCCGAATCCAATAATCAGTCTTCATGTGCAGAGAGGTGACATGATGCGCCCTCAGTTGTGCTAATCAGTTGTTTTAATGTCTCATTAGAGCAATTCTTCTTTTCATACCATCATTTTTAATATTATGAAAAACTATTTCAAAGTTTATCAATTCGCCAAGTTGAATTGAATGGTCTCATTTCGGATGTTAGGTCTTGAGTTGTGTCCTCAGGAGGAGTTCATCCCAGGTAGGTCTGCAAAGCCACTCAATATTCTTTAACAAATCCTAATCATTTTTGCTATATTTTTAATCTGCTACATTATATATTTTTTAATCAATGCAAGAATTCTTCTTGTTGGAACCATCCATATCTACCACATTTTTCAACTCACTCTATCCTAGTCAGTTCACCGTAGTGGGTGTGAATCATTCACAGACATTCATAGACGACCGCAACAACAGCAACAAACCAAGTCGTTCTCATCATCGTCAAACGTTTTACGCTGATGGTACTCTATGATGATGCACAGATGCCTGAACGCGTGCCATTTACACATTTTACGACCGTTCAACAGGCTTTGAGAATGCCACCTGCCAGGAACCTTGTCCTATCGACTGCGTCATGGGCGAATGGTCCCCGTGGTCACGGTGCGACGCCGTTTGCGGCGGTGGCACCCGCACCCGAACCCGCAGGGTTGTCCGCTGGCACCAACATGGTGGAAGACCCTGCACGGTCGTTGCTCCGAATGACATTGTGAGTACAATTTCTTCGTTTTTTTTTCTTTGTTGAAGAAAACCTTTTTTTTTATGCTTGAAGGATTTAAGGCTCCAAATTTCGAGGCCATGAAAAAGCATGCCGTAGGCTTTTATTGTGTGCAATGGCACCACACACCAAATATCAGCCAGACGTTTAAACTGTATAACATTTTGCTTCCAAAGTGTGTCTGATTGCTTTTTCTTGCGATTGAGGCCCATTTCGAGTGCAATGACACTGGTGTCACTCCGTAGGAAGCGTAACGAAAACTTTGGTGACGTCATGTTTCATTAAAGTGATTGCACAGTGAGGGGTGACAAGCGGCACCACCATACCGGGCAAGCCTCGAGGGCATCGCCTGCGAAATCACACCCGATCATTTTTTTTTTCAGCATGTTGCTAAACTAGAGTATATTGTCAAACTTTAAAAGGTAAGCCGACCAAAAATCAATACAGTTTAGTTCATAAGTAAACTGTGCTTCTTCTTTTCTTTTATCGGCGTATTTTTTCGCGTTTTACACTGTGAGGACTCGGCGACGTAAACGAGAGAACGATATAACAAATATAACTTTAATAAGCAGCAGCTACGGTATGAACACAGTCATGGTGTTCGCACGCACCTAGGAAAAACAGCGAAATGGCGTCAAGACTAGCCCAACAGGAAGCGCAAAGCTGCCAGATTACGTGCAGTTTCACAACACTATGCATTTCCCCGGCCAGACCAGCCGTCAAGCTTTAGAATTCAACTTTATAATATTGCTGGCATTTTCTAAACTACATGATAAACAGCGAGCGCATATTGAAAGTGTCAGATTGGTTACGCGTGCGCGTGTGCGAGAACAGACGACATATCACTCTGTGCGTCACAGAATTCTGGTGCCGCAAGACCATGCTACAGTGACATCAGTATACACTGTGGCGCTCCTACACCAAAACCCAATATTTTTCACATAAATAATGTAATTATAAATTAAATACCGAGAGTATTTGGATCCTTGAGCGAATAATATGCTCCCTGCAACAAAGAAAAACGTTTAATTTGATTTCTCGACCCCTTGAACGTGCGCTCACCGACTTTGGCCATTGCAATTTGATTAATAAGTGCACTGTTTAGAGCACTTGGTAGTAAACTGCCACCTGCAAATTAATAAAAAGTGTGAGACAAATTATTGACTTCTAAACAGCCACACTTACACGTGCACTATACTTTTACCGAGATCCCTGCTTTGAGAGAAATTGGGAAATCACACCCGTGAATTCTTACGTCACAGACACCACTTCATATGTCCGCAACCACCCATCAGGAGCTCTGAGAGGACGTGAAACAATAGATAAATAATAAATTTAATTCAGATGTCCTGGTTGTCAAAAATATAATATAGTTGTGCGGTGCGCCAGTACTGAATATTTTCATCTCCTCGATTTTTTAGGGTTGCACTTAAATTCGAGTATACGGGCATTTTAGCATTTTGCCAGCACTCCGGTCCTTCATGACTGGGAGTTGAACCAGCCTTTGTATTTAGAAGCGCAGCTCATCCAACGAGAGCGAAAACGTCTGTTTTCCTTGCGAATATTTCTAAATTCGTGCTGCAGGAAACTCAGACCGATACGTGCATCGTGGACTGCGGACGCAACGTGTGGCTCCCGTCAGGATGGACCCCGTGTCGACCCTTGAATATGACCAAAAAGCTGCGCTGTGGCGTTGAAGGAGTCAGGACGAGATCTATCCTGTAAGTATCATTCACTGATGAAAAGAAGTGCAAAAAAAATCGCCTTTTGAGTCTCAGTACTCTGTGCTGTAAAGTCTATGCGATTTGTCGCGGAGTTATTTCTTTCATTTTGTTTCATTTATTTACCTTAAATACCCCACAAAGGTGTGACATAAACAAAAATCACAGAATTTCTTCACGAATAAATCTTGTCATTTCTTTGATGAAGGTGAGATGGTGATGCAAGTGGTGACGTAGGGAACGCGTTTCCAGCCTTCGGCTGTGCTGTGGAGAAATGAAGACGAGCAAGTAACAGTACGCGCGCTTGTACGGGCAATGTTAAAATAATGGCCTGTGTGCACTGAAATGCGCATAGGATGTGGAATGTAAGTTTATATTTTTTAAGAGATGTATAGTGACGGTTAGTTAAATATACTTGGTTACCGGTTCTTATATGTGTATTTAGAGCATAACACGTGCCGAATTATCGACCGTAATGACGAGAACTAGTGACAGGAGGCATGGAGAGTTGCTCAGCATTTAGGTACCTGACCAGCTATTTAACTAATTTGGGACTTTCTGTGATTCACGTGAGTTTTACTTGCAGGGCAATTTATTCAGGCAGGCTGTCGTAAGCTGTCGCCATCACTTGGCGCAACGCAGGCTGTCCGTCTTTCGGTTGTCTGTCTGCACATTTGTCTGTTTGTTCACCTTTAACTCTACTCTAAACTGCACCAAAGTGGCCAAACGATCCTCCAAATGGCCAACCCCATCCACAGCGCCCCCCAATATTGGTCAAGATTCAGTGTTCATACATGTACAATTGTCAATTAAAAAGCAATTATTGCGCATTATATGAGGCACCACAACAACACGTCAACATTCTGTATGGGTGTCTCTTACTAAAAAAGGCATACATAAGTAATTCGAAGGACCTTAGCGTTTATCACGTTGCGCTGACCAGGCAACGCTTGCACGAAAAGGCAAGTGTTTCCAACGCTTCGCTAAGACGACACGTAGTGTCACCTACCTGTCGCCTTGCGTTATACACCTTATCACCTCCGGGACGGGCGCGCAGGGCGCGCGCGCTTCGTATTCCAAGATAACATCCAGATAGTGATCACGTCTCACGTGTGACGTGAGTTGATGCGCTCGTTCGCCTCCGCTGCACGCTCGAGGCACTCTAACGCAGCGCCTCTAGAATACCGTTCACCAATTTTCCTGCGCAGAACATCAAATAAACGTTTTGTTCACTCTCTCCAGACTCAAGACTATAGACTTTCGACGACATTTGCAGAGCAACATGCAGATACGGGGCGATTTTTTTTTCAACTTTTGTCTCGTCTCATAAAAATGATTAACTTTTTTTGCATACTTATTGCAGGTGCATGTCTGTGCTCAACGGTGACCCCTACCAAGAACTGACCGAAGATGAGTGCGATCCGCTTCAGAAGCCCCCCGACAGCGAAGCGTGCAAATTGCACTGTCCGGGAGAGTGTGTGGTCTCTGAGTGGTCCCAGTGGTCATCGTGCTTGGTGAGCACGTTACCAGCCACGGCTGATTTATTTGCTCGTTTCGACAGGACCTTTTTTTGCCATTATTGTTATATGATGAAGCGTGTATTTTGTGCACATTAGGCCACGCGTGAAGAAAGCACACATCAACAAACGTACGGGTAGCGCTACCAGACAATTAATTATGACGGAAGACCCCAAAACTGCGTAGTGCATGCATGCGCAGACTAGTCACAAACCTAGGATATGCACTAGTTCAGCAGTCTTGTCATCGATCGACAAAACAGTGTTGATGTATCACTGATACAAATGTGGTGTTTCTATATTGTAAGCTTTGAATTATTCGCGTATATATATATTAGGTTGTCTAACTGTTTTGCTACTGTGACAAACTCAGTCATTCTTGAGCTTCTTTTTCGTCTTTTCTTTAATATAAGAGCTCAATTGTCTTCATTAAGGTGTAAAGTGTAAATGAAAACAGAGCTTTGTTTTTCTATTCGTATGTATTTTCTTATAGCCAACACACTTTGAGTTTCTGTAATGCATTTGCTTAGCATGACTTATTTATTATTTATTACATACTGCTAGCGTCTGTGCCATTCCTAAGCAGGATTTGGCATGCGTAATTTGTTGCTGTAACAGAACTATAGCATGTAAAGTCAGAAAGACGTCGCCGAATTGTTACGGATGGTTGAAAAAGACTCCTTCCGTACCTTAAAATGCACTATTATATAAATGAAAACGCCATTTTGTCTTTCCAGGACCCAGAACTGGGAGCCGTTATCACCGAGCGAAATCGCACTCGTCGGATGCTTCGACCACAGAGGCATGGCAGGCACTGTCCGTACCGTTTATTTGAGACGGATGTCTGTCTGAAGCACCACTGGGAGCTGGGAGCACCGGGTTCTTGCGTCGTCAACGGCGGCGCCCCTTGCGGCAGTGGAGTTTCCAGGGCGCCTCTTTACTGCGTGAGGGACTCGGACGGTTTGCGCGTGGACTACAAGTATTGCGATCCGGTAAGCGAATTTGTAACTAAGGTTCGAATTCCGTCTACTTATCTTTCGCTCATGTGCTTACGTTCAGGTGCACGTTTATCAACGCTGGATGGTCAAAGTGAATTCGTTGTGGCGTGTTTCATATTCGTATCATGGTTCTACCACGTTAGGCCTCACAATTCCATTTTACTTTCGTGGATGGCCAACGTGAATCCGCTGTGATGGGTTTCATATTCGTATCATGGTTCTACCAGGTTAGGCCTCACAATTTCACTTTACATTCGTGGATGGCCAACGTGAAGTCGTTGTGGCGTGTTTCATATTTGTATGATGGTTCTACCACGTTAGCCTCACAAGTTCACTTTACTTTCCTTGAAAACATAAACGTTTTCACAAGTATACAAATTGGGTTCCAAAAGCCCATACCTGAAAGCGTACCTCCTGTCGGACCATACACGTTGTTCAAACGTATGCGGCAAGATACAGCAATGTTGTAGATTTTTGCTAAGACGGACACAACAGTAAGTATATATAGCACAACGAAAACTGGGGTCAGTAAACTGGCAATAGGGACAACCAATGCAAAGAAGGTATATATAGTCAAATAAACATTTGAAATTGTCACACTAAAAAAAACAAGGTAAGCAATGAGAGCAGGGTGACATGTGGAGCAAGCCTAATGTTATTTGTAGTATTATTAATCTCCCCCTTTTATGATTTAGTTAGCATATCCTTTTAACTCTTTTATTCTCTTGCCCCTCTTTCCAGCACAGTTAAAAGCCAGGTGGCTCCAAAAACCTTCTGTTTCCGCTTCCTGTTTTTCAGCATTTACATATATATATATATATATATATATATATATATATATATATATATATATATATATATATATATATATATATATATATATATATATATATATATATATATATATATATATATATAACTTCATTTATTAATTTAGCAAGCCCAATCAGTCTTTCTGATTACACTTTTTCGCGTATGATTCTTAACTGTTGTTTTTTATTACTCAGTATTCTTTTTCGCTCTATGAGGCATGCAAGACGTTGGCTACAGCCTCCTCATTCAGTAATTACTTTCTTATCGCTTCACAGAACACTAGGCCATCAACCAAGCATGTGGAGACGGCTTGCAACGTGTCTTGTCCCGTCGACTGCATGGTCTCAGAATGGTCGGAGTGGGATCTAACCGGATGCGAGCCCTGCGGTAGTTTTGGTGAGGGTTCATTGTTTATTTGATTATCGCACATATTCGCCCAAAAAACATGTACTCTTATGAACGTAGGATAATATGACAAGTCTTACTCACTTTTGTCTTGATTACTTATCTCTGCTATAAAAGTGACATTGATGTATGTAACGTGTTTTTTTTTTGAAGGTTACAGATTGTGTACACGATCAACTTAAAAAAAATTATCTATTTTATATGTATAATTTTGTAATGTTGTTTCCGGCCATTTCTTATTTTAAAAATGAAAATTTTTGTTAAGGTGTTTCATAAAAAAGTTACACATCTTGATAAACAAATCTGAGGCTGTTGTATCATATTTATCACAATGATGTTATTGAACTTATTCCTATCATACGTGGTATTAACTTCCTCTCTCGATAATAATTTACTCATAATATATTATCTATAATAACCAATGTCATACGATTTATATAAGTAGTTATAGAAACATCAAATGTTCTTATTCATCGTGACTATTGATGTTGTTTCAAGACAATTCAAATGTACAGCCTTGTCAGCATCACTAGAGGTCGATGGTGTGTCTCCATTCCTACACACGAATGATATGAGGTATATAAGAATCGCTATAATCATAACCATTTTTAACATGCAAATGCTCTGGATGGTTTGTATATCACAGATTCCTGCGTAATGTTTTGATACGAACTGTTGGCTGCTTGGTTATACGAAGCGTCTATTGCAGGAGACCAGGTAAGACACCGCGAGGTGATTCAAAATGCCACCGAAAGTGGAAGGGCCTGTCCCACAAGTCTCACCCAAAGAAAGCCTTGTCCTTTCACTCCCTGCTACCGCTGGTCAATAGGTGCATGGTCACAGTGCGAACTTCATGTGAGTGACTCTTCATTTTACCTAAAAAATATTTAGTAGGTTGCTTCAGGATTGGGTCAGTTACTTCCAATTACCACGTATGCATGCTACATCTGTGAGCAGGAAAGAGGCCAAGTTTGGTTTGTTACCCGCCATACACTTGTGGTGTGTAGTTATAGATGCAGTGGAGTGAGTTTATTCTTATTTTGTTTAAATATCAATACCTTTTCGAACATATGTAAGTTCTTGTTTGTAATATCCAAAGTGTTGTTTTCTAGCGTATTGCTTTAATGTATTTTAGTTCTATACTGTTGATCGTTTTCTCTGTTGCTTTCGTCCTGTATTACTCATTCACTCGCGCTATATCCCTGTACTTGGGCCACAGTATATTCAAAAAATAAATAAATAAATAAATAAATAAATAAATAAAACAAGTATAGAGTCTGTACAAGCAAAAGCTTACATAGTCTTCATAATATGCGATTTGATTTTTTTCTGTGATTTTTTTTTTCCTTTTCGCATCAGGACCAGTCAAACCCAGTAATTACTATAGTTGGAACATCACTCAGAGCTTTGAATGAGTATAAAAAGATAGGCTATCGTGAGTGATTTAACGTTTTTGCGTTATTCACTACCCTTATCACTACCTGCATAAGTGCGCGCAAACACGTTGGGAAACGTTTGTGTGAATAAAGCTACTGAGAGTGAAACATTTCATCAAAACGTCTTTGGAAGGTTACGCTGCGCGCAAATTATGTAAGTTATTAACAATTCCGAATGATTAAAGATCACGGAAAATGTGTGCCAACAAGAGAACCTTGTGCAGAATGAGTCTGCTATATGTGCCCAAATTTTGTTTTTATGTCCGTCTACATAATTTCGGTCTCATTCTTTCACCCAGGGAGCAGACTGTGGATTCGGCGTCCGCAGACGTGATGTAGCGTGTTATCGGTCTGATGGAGAGTTAGTAGAGGAAAGCTTCTGCCATCTGGCCAACTTCACCCCATATGTGGGAGGTCCTCTCCACCTCGACTGGCTGATTGTTGGAAACGATGTTCAGGTAATTGTTTAAGTTCGAGGTAATTAATAAAGATAACCAACTGTTTCATCAATGTTAAACTATACTCCATCTCACCACTCTTATTTAGAACTATCAATCATACGGGGTGTAAGCAAACAGCAAAACGTAGTTACAGATCTCATTACCATACGATTGACACGGCTGTTTAGGACGATTGTTTGGCACGTGTGGCGTCACATCAATGTCTGATATGTTTCTTCTGGTTTTTTTCATTGACTTTATGTGTTTTTCACCATTCTATCAGTAAACACAACTAACTGTGGTTAGAAATTAATATGAATGCGTCCATGCAGCGGGACCACCCGCCTATTTCGATCCGAACTTGCGCTTGCTATTCGCCCACTGCACTGACAGCAACAAATAAATGGTAAAATGACCCGCCGTCTCACGGTGAACGCGAAGCATAAAGTACATTTTGTCACTATTTACGAGATAAGCCGTTTGTTCAGTCACACCTGCTAAGCATAACACGCCGCGAACTATGTAATCGTTCTTAAAATTAACGCGCTATAGTCACCAATACTCTGCTGTCGAAGTATGAGCACATTAATCTAAAGCTAATACAATATTCATTTTGAAACTTATGGGTCACATATTGCATGTTGACGGCTCGATGATTTCGAGGCGGAGGGCACCAGCTGTGTTAGCTGCAGCCATTTCTCTTTTTTTTTTTTTGGTGATGCCATCTGTTGGCTTTACTAGCACTACGCTTGCGAGCAGACGACGCGACACGAAGGAATACATTCGGAGATGCTAAGGCTTTCAATTGGCTAAGAGGCTTTGTAGCCTTCACAGGAATGAAAAGAGCGTGTTAAATAGAGTATAGTATTCGTATGACAAGTACTATGATCGTGTCACATGCACTACCATCTGCGCTTGTAGTTGATACCTTTGTACGTGCTACGCTCGCACCATTACGTTAGCGTGGAAGCGATAGACGCCACCAAGGTCTGTTTGCTGGCCGCCGCGACCACGTTTTCTTACGCTTATGCTTTACTGAGCTGTGCCAGGCTGGACAATAAGTGAGTTAGCTGCTAACCTTACCTTGTAGATCATTCTGATATATTGCTATCGCATTCATTGCTTCGCTGTTGCGTTGAAACTGCAATTCTAAAGTATTTGTTTTATTGCCGCAGTTGGTAATTTTACTTGTTTTGTTATCACTTGTGTATCTAATACTACGTGATCTGGAGGGTGCAATAAATGAAAAGGCATTAAAAAAACAGTAAAGCCTTTTTCGCCATTGTTTGGAGACAGCAAACACACTGCGGCAAAGGTATACAAGTGTTACTAATAGATGAGTGATGCTGAATTTCTTGAGGGTAATTTTCTTAGAGTGATAGCATTGTTTGAGATGTAGCTGAAATCCTGATGTCGTATATTTATACAAGGAAACTTTGTGCCAGTGCTCTTTGGTGTATACCCTAAAAGATAACGTGCTTGGTGCTTGTCTACGGTAAGAATTTTAGAGTCATACAAAAAGCATCTTAAACCAATTATTCATCGCAAACATTCTATACTGCTGCTTTTTGTGTTCGGCATTGTGCATATCTACAATGAAACTCACAGAACAGTGTTTCGGAACAGCAGGTTCCCATCGGCTTATAATTTAGCTCCTTACTGACACTCTGTTGTATATTGACATCAGTTCATTAAAGTCAAGTTATGTATAAGCTATTTTTGTCGCGACACTTCAGTGTTCGCCGCGGAAGCACTTTTACATGCACGTAAAGGTGATCAACTTTTCACAGGTTGCGGCAAAGGCACTTTTAAAAATACTTTCTTTGTCGTTGCAGACGGAAGAACAATGCTACGTTCCATGCCCGCAAGGTTGTGCTTTGTTCCCTTGGTCCGACTGGTCACCGTGCAACAGGAACTGTGACACTGGTGAAATCCGTGAGTAGCTGATTTCATTTATTTTCAAAAATACATGTACACGCAAAAGGTTCAATCAAATAGATTAATATGTTTCAGCAAAGTTTTACAATTACATTTTAAAGTAAGTTTAACCCTACAGGCAAAGTAATAACAAATGCAAAAAATGGTGCATTGTTTAGCTAATTGCAGCTGTGATAGATTTAGTTAACAAACTTACTGAGTGTGTGTTACATCTGTATCTTCCATTTCGTCCGGTGTATTTGTAGTGTGCTAAGAATTTTGTAATGCAGTACTATGTAACCAACTTATACGTCCCTTGCGATCAATACAAATTGTGCCAAATCAAAGCAACGCTGTAAGAGGACCGAAACACACATGCTATCAGGTTTAGGAACTAGTTTAACACACCGCAGTAGCTCGGTAGCCCTGCCATTAGAATGATGAGCATAAAGTAGTGCATTTGAACCAGGTCAGGGTGAACGCGTTCGTATGCAATGTAATAAGAGGACAAAAAAAGAACACTCTTGTAAGGTCAAGTAAAAGCACGGTAAGCATAAATTGTTTACACTGTTATATCATAGTCATCCACTAATGTGCACCAAATAATTAAATTGGGATTTTTGTGTGTAAGTTCAGCCTCGAACTAAGTTTAATTTAAACATATCTTTTAACCTCAATTTGTCTCAAAGGTTTGCACCAAGTGTCTCACAAAGCAATTCCTGGTAGCTTACTTTGCTTTCTTCTTTTGAAAACGAAATGCAGACCATAAAAGCTTTGGAAAGTATGGTACGAAAGGCGCAGGTTAGTGCCAAGTTGTGAAATTTCACTTTAAAAAGACTGCATTCTACAGCTGATAGAAGGAATGGAGCCCACCTCGGTGGAACAGTGGCTACGGGGCTCTGCTACTGACCCGAAGGCCGCGGGTTTGACCCCAGTCACGGTGGTCGCATTTCGATGCAGGCGAATTTATAGAGGTCCGTGTATAGTGCAATGTCAGTGCACGCTCAAGAATACCAAATGATCAAGCTTTCCGCGCAACCATCCACTATAGCATCCTCATATTCATATCGTTGTTTTGGGAGGCGAAACTCCAAATAATACAATAAATGAAAAGCCCAAGAATACATGCCTTAGATACCACAAGACAATTTTTCGGGGGGCTAACTAGATCGTTTTTTTTTTCTAGAACTTTACATTAGTATGACACTCGGGTACGCTTTCCTAAGGAGCACAGCAGCAGAGGTTCTGATAGGCGTTACATGAAGGAAGGCCACGGGACCTGAGGCTAAACGTCACGTATGACGTCACTAGCAGAGTTTCACATCACTGCCGATTCTGTTTGCAGCAGTAGTGAGAAACGAAGGCGTCACGGCGTAGGTTATTCTTCCCCAGCGACATGGGCCAACTATTGACACTGGGGAAATAACGACAACTTTGCAACAACAGACACAACCTTGCTCTTTCATTCGAATTTCGGCGGTATTGTGACAGCAAACGCGACGTTGGCGCTCAGGTCACGGCAAACTCTTGTGTATAGCGGTGACAAGAAGTTCCCCTACTGCTGTCTTCAGCGTACGATAACGCGTGCGTCAATCTTCGCCGCTGTTCGGCTCCTGTAAAGGGTGCACCACTGCATCGGCTATATTTGTGCGGACAAGCACTTGCCAGTACTGTTGGGACTCCGGGTCCTGCCGGTCTCGTTTTCGGTAGCTGGCCCCGTAGCAGGATCCATCGTCCGACAATTCAGCGAGAAGAAGCGCCCGAACGAACGACAGAAATTTATTTACATGTGGAGAAGTGGTCAACTGATCCAAAGAGAGAAGAGAGCGAGAGATACAAAGCGTCTTCGGCATTTTATAGCGCCGCGTTGCCAACACTGGGCGCATTGTCCGCATCGTCAGCCAATACGGTGGCCCCGGCACCTCGGCCACGAGGGAGGGAGAAACACACCTCACAACACATGGAGTGGCACAACCTAACACGATGTCCATATATGGTCACGGCGCCCTAAAAAATGCCCAAACATGGTCACGAACGCACAGCAGATTCCGGAATTCTCCCGGCGAGAGGGGGGAGCCTGAATGGGGAGGTGGGGGTCGACGACACAGTCGGCCAAGAACCGGTTCTCCCCGCAACTCCTCTTGCTTGGTTCCCTAGGGCCGGTCGTAACAGTACGTAAGACATAGCATGTCTGAAAAAACCAGAAATCCAGAAGGATGAGCCACTGTTGGCACTTCTTGTTTCATCTTGTACTAGAACGCAATACATGTATGCATGAGAATGTTACCGCATTAGAATTCGAATTAAATAATCTAGGAGGACTTCATATTCCATCACGCCCGGAACAATACCTACCGTGTTTCTTCCCGAGCCACTCAGTCACGACTAATTTTCTTAAAAGAAAGCAAGAACAAGCTTTAATGAAAGACGGCTCTCTCTATTTGTCATGTCAAATATCATGGTTAAATAGTGTTTAAAGTACAAATGAGAACACACTGGCATTTATACATGCGAATATGCCACATGATGCCATAAAGGTCGAATAGATGCCATAAAAATGAAACATGTAATGAGCCGCTTTTACGAGCTTTAAGGGTTATATATACGCTACGCTCACATAATACACAAAGCGTTACACAACACATAGCTTTCATTCAGCGCTTTAACAGAATGCACGAAAATTCAACATTTTATTATTCCTGCATACTTATACTAGCAGTAACTTCAAGAAGAAAACAAATAAAATACTACTAAGGCAAAAAAGAGAGGTGTTTTCATTTTTATTATTGAACAGCTCACACTTAATTGATCACCAAAGAATGAAATAATAATCATAACAAAACTGATGAAACAAAACAACAAAGACATTTCGATAAGATTTCTTTTAAACAGAAAAAAATGGCAGCATATCCACGGAGTGAATGATGGAGAGTGGGGCGAAGCATTCGTCCATCTATTCGTTCTTGCTTCCGTCCGTCCATGCGTCCGTCTGTGTGACCATCCATGCGTCCATCCGCCCGTCCGTGCGTGCGTCTGTTCATGCGTCCGTCCCTGCGTTCGCCCATGCATCCGCCCCTGCGTCTGTTCATGCGTCCATCCATGCATCTGTCTGTGTGTCCTTTCATCCATCTATTCAACACTCCAAGTACCACCATCTCGCATCTTTTCATCATATATTCCCCATATAGAAGCACCGCCATCCAGTGGACATTGCAAGGACTAAACTAGAGGTGGCACACGCACACTTTCTTACGGCTTGCGCTTCGGGTCTACTTCCCACCTTTAACCACCTCGAGTTCATGGTATATACTAGTTCACTGTATTCATGGAACTGCGGCCCAACGCTCGCTAAACCTTTCTAAAACCAAGTAGGTTACGCCCAGCCAGTATAACGTAGCAACCTTTTCCTGTCAGATAGTGCTCAATGTACATGCCAATGGCTGCTTATGGGAAATGAGAGACAGAAGAATTTGGCTTTTACTTTCTTACGGCTTGCGCTTCGTATCTACTTCCCACCTTTAACCACCTCGAGTTCATGGTATATAGTAGTTCATTGTGTAAGCTCTGCAGGTGCGGTGGTTATTCCCGCAAGACACATCACAATGAAATTCATGACATCGCATTTGACGTCGTCGACAGCTGCAGAACTCGCCGCCATACGTGCAGCTCTGGAGTTTATAGTGGAAGAACCTTCGGGAATTTCGTCTATCTTCTCAGACTCGAAGGTGGCTCTTCAATGTCTTAAGTCACCCTTTTGCCATGAACCTAATGAACAGTTAGTAGCTCAAATAAGGCTTCTTTATCGCCAAGCAATCGAAAAACAGCACAGCATAGTGTATCAGGGGATACCAGGTCATTGCGGTATATATGGCAATCACCGCGCAGATGACGCCGCTAGATCTGCACACGATGGTACCCAATACACAGCCATCCCGTTCTCAAGAACCGACGCAGCTACAAGACTTCGTTCGCTTGCACGTGACCTCACGCTGGTACAGTGGAACTCAACAGACTTCACAAACGCGCGCATGCATAACTTGGATCCCGATCTGCAGCTTCGTCTTCCCCCAAGGATATCTCGAGCTGAGGAGACTCTTCTATGCCGCCTGTGGCTTGGAAAGGCCTTCACGAACGCACACTCTTATCTCATTGCAATGGCCAGCTCTCCTACATGAACTTACTGCAGCTGCGAAGAAACCATCGCGCACTTCTGTGTGAGTGCACCCATTTCAACGCGCAAAGACAAGAACTCACTGCAGCTCTGGATAGACTAGACGATCGGCCTTTGTCAGAACAAAGGATTCTGGGTCATTGGCCGAGCCCATCCTCAGCCCAGAAAGCTTTGAAAGCTTTGCTGCGCTTTTTGCGGACAACTGGCCTCAGAGACAGACTTTAGTGTCTTATAATCTTTGATGTTGCCTTTCCTCTGTCGAAAATTTTTTTGTAATTTCTCTCTCTCTCTTCGCAACATTTCTTTTTAACATCTTTCATTCCCCTCACTCCTTTCACCAGCACAGGGTAGCCAGCCGGTCTAAGAACTGGCTAACCTCCCTGTCGTTTCGCTTAAACTTTCTTCCTCCTCTTCTTCCTAGTTCATTGTATTCATGGCACTGCGGCTCAACGCTCGCTAAACCTTTCTAAATCTAAGGAGGTTACACCCAGCGAGTATAACGTAGCAACCCTTTCTTGTCAGATAGTGCTCAATGTACATGCCAATGGCTGCTAATATGGATCGCAGCGCGCGCATTAACTAAAAGCTGAATGCTCCATTCTCTCACTCCCTCTTAGCAGCCATTGGCATGTACATTGAGCACTATCTTTTATTGTTCAACAACGCACAGAAGAAATCTCTCACCGGCACCACCTTGGAGGTCAAAATGTTATACTTGTTACACACTACAACGGCTACGACGGATGAACGGCTGCCGCTATAAAAAGCTTCGCCCCTAAAAAATGTCTACGTTGGGTGGCGATATAAAATTGTTACTGGGTATGTGTATGAGAGATTCTTATGTGTAGGATACCTTTACGAGATTGCCGTGATGAACGGTTTTATACGGAAGAGTCACCTTAACGAAAAGGCAATGTTCTTGACATTAAGGTTCATTTTACTTTGTTTCGTGGTCACCCAGTAGCAATAACACGGCTTTTTACGTTCTCTTTCCAGTCGGTCAGACGTCACGTTCTCGAGCGGTCATGGTTCCTGCAAAAACTGGAAATACTGGTCACTGTCCTACTGAAATGATTCAAACAAGGCCTTGTTGGGGTACGTCCAGGGTCAGCATTTATTATGCCTCCTCATTGAAGAATTAGGACGTTTGTTATGCAGTGCATATATTTTTTTTGGACACAACATCCGTTTTCGGTTGCAAATGCAAGGTACAGCTTGGGGTAGTTCAGCGATGGTGTGAGTGTATGATCACACAAAACTACCGAACTACTGAGAGTTGGCGCAATAAAATAAATGTTCATTTGAAGCGTAAATGCAATAAAAAAGCAATAATTTCTTTGTAACAAGACTGATACCTTGTGAAGCTAGCAAAACACGACAAAAAAAGTGTCACGCATCTTGAGGTTGAATCTCTTCTGAGTAATTGAATTACAAACAAATTACTTTCCTCGTCTTCTATTTTTTATAGCTTCTCAGCATAACATTACTTAATTTCTTACATTTTCGGTCTAGATACAAAGCATTTAGTATTTTACACACCCGTTAGTCTACTCAGTCTAACTACTCAGTCTAACAGCTGTCAGCTTACTGAGAGATCAGGAGTAGCAATGCAGTGGAAGCATCTAAATGGGCATCTGCCAGTTGAGTGTCTCGTACAGAAAAAATTAATCTATTGTGATAATTTATTCATGTTTCAATTGCGTAAAATCTGCAGATGGAGTGTGCCTGACGTACTCGTGGAGAGTTCTGAATGGAACGCTGCAATGTTCCCGGTCCGATGGCGTTATCGTGGAAGGTGAGTCTTACATCATCACCTGTTATCACTTCCGATATTAGCAATAACAATCGTGCTAGCGACCAATTTTCGGGCTACCAAACAATTTTCGTCTAAGTAGGTATTTCAAATCTAAGCATTTCTTTTTATAAGCCTTCTACCAAAGCGAGCCGTTTGCTGCTCCCACGCGAATAAATCGATCGCGGCTCCTGACATCTGGCGCTGGTAACGAGAAGCCGTGGTTTTTCCCAAGCTTGGCAGATGTCGCCGTATTCTCCAACTGCGTGAATCTTGAACAGCCTCTTATCGCATTTGGAGAGAGCGGCTCGTCGTATGATACAAGCATAAAATGCATTCCGTGAACTTAAACTTCTCTAAGCAAAACATTTGGGGCCTAATAATCTGCGGCTGTCTAATGGCTAAAAATCATTAAGGTAGTCAGCACAAATGCTGGACATATGTTCCCAGAATATGTAGTGGTTCGTCGATGGATGTAAATGCAAATCATTTTACATTTTGTGAGACTGCATAGCCATAATATATGAGAAAACTCGTGTTTCGTCGTAATAGACTCTATACCTTGAAAAATGCCAAACTTTATTCATACTATCTTCTAGAAAACCGCAAGAAGACACGAAATAAAACATTTCAAGTGGTATTACAAAGGGAAAAAAGAACTCCAGTTACGATTCCTACATCCTATTTCTCTCGAAACACCAATTACTTCTCCCAAGGTGGGTTTTGGGAGGATTAGTAACTTCATGATGGCGCGCTGTGGAATCACACTTTCTTGCTGAGCACATTTAGAAATCTCTTAGGGAATAAAATAAAACGCATAGCAGATGCCCACAAAGACGAGAGACAGGGTACATGCTCCTGTGCTGATTATTTGAGAAAACATAAGCTAAGCACCACCATACCTAGAAGCACACAATGTTGTCTTAACTTTGGCGCAACTTTCTCAGTGTAACGGGAAGGTGTGATCATTTGGCGTTGTTTGGGGGCAGAAGAAAGCATAAGAAAAGAGTGCCGATTGCGAGTGACTTTATTCGCAGAAAAAAATGCTAAATGTGAAAGCCACACCACACATGCGAAAACATCACTGCCTCGCATAGCAGCACTGTATGACCGTTGCGTATAGGTTACACATATGTGGCCTTTCGCAAGTCTGAATTTGAATTGCGAAGTTTTGAACTGAATTAGAAATGGTTTTGCAAGACCCTCCCCACTGATGGCTAATGATTATGTTGGGCAACGCTGTTTGCACATAGCGGTGTGGATTATATACTTTCTGCTGTTTTCCTGAACATGAAATGAGTTTCGAGATATCCTCTTTTACAGGACGTGTTCTTTATACTAAAGTGCTAACACGTCTAGGTTTTTTTTTTTTTGTTAGTGGTATGTACGAATGACTACAGCAGCAATCTCTCATATAGGCTGAGTCTTTTGACATTGTGAATGACGGTTATCTGCTTTTTCTGCCAAAAGCTATCCACCATCTTCATCATAAAAAGGTGTCAAGCCATTAAGAAACACTTGCTAGTGTATACCTTGTGCTGCCAAAAGAATTATACGTTACCCAAAATAATGAGCTGCAATTTTTTATTGTATTTCCCTATAGTTACCTTAGTACATTATAAGTCAATATTTGTGAATGCTTAGATCGGGCATTCGGCGCTTACGTGTGACAGCCGACATTTTCCGCCACATCTGGTCACAATAATGCATGTGTTTTAAATAAAAGTCGGACCCTGCGCGGCATCACGTTATAACAGACAGACGAGCATGTCGGTTTGGCTTCACGATAATAGTAAAGCAGTCCACGAAAGTATAGAATTCTAAAGGAATTTAAAAAAAGCCCAGGCAGTGCATGGGCACTGCGAATGCCTTCCCTCTTCGCATTCCTTTTGCTTTTTATTGCTGCTCTCGCGCTCCCTTTCCATCTTGTTAAAATCCAAATTTCAGCACTTCTGGCACGCCTGAGGAGACACTTTGAGAAACGTGCCACTTCAACTACGTAAATCTAGAATGCTTGCTCATAGGACCTTGGTCTCAATCGGCCAAATGCACTTAAGGTGTGTCAACAAAAACTGAATAGTCGAACATGTTCGCCTATCTCTTTAACCAGTAACTGTTCACCCATATGTTAGCTACTATCTATTCATTTGTTGATTTATTTATATATTTATTTGATGTAGTGACGTTGTAAAAGGCCGCAGTCGGCATGTTTATTACGAAACTCTTCAGTGAACGTGCGCCTGGACATTGGAGGAAGCAAAGTAGAAGCAATCTAATAGTGGCTGTTGTAGCTCACGAACTAAAGTCAGAATGAATCACTTGCAAATGATATTCTTGTATAAGGTTGCCGCTATGTGTTGGCTGCAGTATGATTCGTGTTTTAACGTCGGTCTCGGCATGCGCACATACTACGACCACACGCAGTGCATTGAAGTACCCCCCCCCCCCCCCTTTCATAACCGCGTCTCATGCAACTGTGGAAGGAAGATGCAGTCTCCTAGTAACTCAGCGTCTCCGTCAACTGATGACAGGGCTGTATTTAAGGCACCACGAAATTTACTGGCTTCTTTCAGCGTTCTGAAAAGCGGTCAAGGCCATCACCATCAGAGCAGCCGGTTTCGGGAGGTTTCCCTCTTTTTTTTCGTGCTTTCTTTTTTGTTCACTACGCTGCGCAGTTCAAGGCTGAGTACTTGCCCTGAATCTTGATATATTTATCAAGAACTAGTGGAGCAATGCTGAGGGTGCATCCGCCATGTAAATGTGATGCAGCACTGATGTAACTCCAAGATTGATCGAATGTAACCCTTTGCATGGAATGTCGGATGACGTTGCGGGCTGCTTATGGTGACCAGAAGTTGCGAAAGCGGGTTGAGATATTTCATATACATCACTAAACTTTTATTTTGATGAGACAGAACCTTAATAAATGAATGATGAGAAAAGAAGTGCACGGTACAAACGCGGAATTCACAACAAGTTTTTTGGTTCTGTTTTTAATTTCGAAGCATTTCATGGGGAAAATCGGTGGCCTTGACCATATCTATCCATCTATCTATCTATCTGTCTATCTATCTATCTATCTATCTATCTATCTATCTATCTATCTATCTATCTATCAATTACTATCTATCTTTCTATCTATCTATCTATCTATTACTATCTATCTATCTATCTATCTATCAATTACTATCTATCTATCTATCTATCTATCTGCCTACGACATTCAGCTCTCCTGGCCGTTCCGATATTGAGATCTATGCCAAAATTGCTAAAGCATAACATGACTGTATGATAAGCATGAGTGACTAATCATAACATAAAAATCATGACATGTATGCAATGAATGTCAAAATTTACATGTCATGGTCTTGCTGCTTCTGCAGTGATTTCGTTCAATTCACTTATTAAAAAACTGGTATGGTAGGACATGACTGCATGGCAAACATGAATGACAAGCCATAACGTCAAATTTATGACATGCCTACCTTGTATGTGTTGACAACATGCCACGTTTATGGTGCGTTCGCGGTCGGTTCGGTGGGTTAACATATACCAAGTTTGGTATTGTAAGACTTGAATAGACGACGAAAGTAAATGACACGTCCAAACATGATAATCATGACATGCGCGCCATGTAAAACATGACTACATGCTACGCTCATAGCGCGCTCGCGGCCGTTTCGCTATAGCTCCACGTATACCAAATTTATTATAACTTGACGTGAACAGACGACGAAGATAAATGGCACGCCCAAAGCTAATAATCGTGACATGGAAGTCATGTGCGGCATAATTTACGTGTGCCCCATAACGTTTTGCTGATTTTAAAAAGGCATATCAACCTTCCTCATATGTGCTTTGCATATCGTTGATTCCCGCTGTACGTGGGGTCTTCAATTTTTTTTTCTGTAACGTATACAACACTGATTAAAAGTGTTTCTTCACTTCAGTTTCTAGCTCAGCGCATGTCCAGTGCTAAGTAAAACGCTGTTTTATGAAAAAATTAACTTCGACCAACTCTCCAAGCCTACCATCTTGCTCCAACTGACCTTGCTGTCTTGAATTTATTTTTCTCCCGAACACCACTCTTCGGTGTGAAATAGTCAACGTTTCGCAGAAATCATCAAGGTCACGCTACGACGCACACTAATTCGCGTTTTCGCTAATTGCGAGAAGAGAGCAAGCAAGGTCGTATTGTCCTTTCTACGTATCCGGCGTACCAGCTCACAAATGCTTCAACGGTAAACAAATCTTGGACGGTCAACAAAAAAGGATGGTAATTACTGCCCGGCTTAGTGCCAACGCTTTGTGCTCGCGTGAACTGAGATTAATTAAATCGTGCATTGGGACTGATGGATTGTGTACGCAGCTCTTCAAAAGGGAGGATGCCCTTCCTTAACGGCCCTCGTTGCGGTAGCTGGCTTTGCTTTGGTGCGAGTGCTCTCTCCGCTCACGATAGACGCATTTTGATGTGGGCGCAATTCTAGAGAAATCTTTGTACTATTAGATTTAAATGCTCGTTAAACTAAACCCACGTGGCTAATATTGACCCAAAAACCGTCATTGCAGCTGTATGCATAATCCTATAATGAATTTCCCAAGTGAAGCTGCAGAATTTGATGTTGTTTGTGCGGACTAGGTGAACTTGTGGTGTAGTTGCTATCCGTAGAGTACTGCGAAAAGTTTTATCTCTGATCCAGCTAAGAGCCCCTTGACTTTCTTCAAAAAAAGGTTTTTATACGGGCATATGTCCATAAAAGTAAACCAAAGTGAAACCTATAACAAAACTGGTGCACTCAGCGCGAAATATCTAGCTAAAACTACCTACAAAACACAATACCATTGTACCAAGCACATTTATGAGTATCTTATTGACCGTAATACTGTACTTTCAGATTATATAATGCGACACACATTAGGCCATTGGTAACGGGAAAAGATTAAGCACATTGGGGCCTAGTCAGTTTATCAGGTCATAAGCTACCTTATGACCGGATGATCTG